CGGCCTCGTGCAGCGGCGTGCGGCCGCGGGCGTCGCGGGCGTGCACGTCGGCGCCGGCGGCGAGGAGCCGCGTGGCAATGGCGGGCTGCCAGTTGGCGGCGGCGGCGTGCAGCGGCGTCGCGCCGTCCTGGTTGGCGATGCTCGGGTAGGCGCCGGCGGCGAGGAGCAGCTCGACAATGGCCAGCTGGCCGTTGGACGTGGCCGTGTGGAGCGGTGCCACGCCGTACCGCGTCTGGGCCGAGACGTTGGCGCCGGCCTCGATGAGGGCCTGCACCGTCGCCGCGCTACCCGACTCGACGGCGTAGTGGATGGGCGTTAGATAGTCCCGGGCGACATCGGCCGCGCACGGATCGGCGCCGCGGCGGACAAGGTCCCTCACCTGGCTGTCATCCCCGTACATGGCTGCTTGCGGGAGGGACATGGCTGCTTCCATGTCCCGTTGGGCTCCCTCGTTCACGCCGCAACAGGCACATGATTGATGGCCTGGCTCCTGGTAGGGGTAGGGGTCGGCCATGTAGCTGAAGCCGTCGGATCGACCGGGTGCAAGATTGGTCTGGACACAAAGCGAGAGTGTTGCGCTCAGGCAGACGTAAAGGACAGGTTTGCTGAGCATATTTGTTTTTTCAGGCTGGCGATTTGGGGGCAGCATTGGACAGCTGTTAATATATTACCTTGCAAAGACCCATAGTTGGCAGTGGGCACGGCACAGTCAATATATCCATTCTCGCACTGATTGAGAAAGTACATAGCAGTAACGTTGTAAGAATCTGTACATATCAGTCAGTATAATTTGTACAAATTAGTTTGTAGTGAATGCGTTGCTGCCTTGAGCCCCATACTCTCCCCTGTGAATTATTTAGGCTACCATCTCGCCAAGCAGGGCCGTGACTTTGCCGGCACGACAACTCATCAACCAGTGCCACTATTCTGAGTGGGTGCCGAGGGCCCGACAAAACGCCTTGCTAGCCGCAGCAGAATAACCTTTGCAATTTGGCTAGGTAAACGCTTTTTGAAACGTTGTGATAATTTGTGGCTAGGTGTGGCTTAGACACCGACATCGGCGCCCCCATTGTGCTTTAGAAAGCGCGACTTATACAAGATAGTTGGAACTCGTATAATTCGCTAGATAAATTGACAGATAAATTCTATCCATACAGTATACTAGGATACACTTTTAAAGCACTACACCTCTGCATTCGCTTGGTGGTATAGGGAAAACCTAGCTTGTAGGCGAAAAACCTATACACGAGGCATAGTCACTCCTTCATGTCAAACAGCAGCAGGCCTACAAATCGGTGTTGGGAATGGTAAGGCAGCGCATGGCTGCCACTCGATCACCAAGTCTGAGATCGTGGAGATTGGGAACGGACTGTCGCAGGCCAGTAATGAGTGCTGGGATCATGCAGATGGAGTTGCTATGCATATAGTCGTCAGCAACGCTGCTTTCTTCATGTCGCACTTGATTGTAGCTTACTCGAATAGCGCACAACTAACGCTCGACGTTCTGAATCGGATGGAAGATGCCTCGTGGCCGCTTTGTGGTTGCACTTAGCATTACTGATTTTGAGTAGGCCCTGGCAGGTGACCATGATGCTTACAGGTTTGGTGGAAGTGGCACGCAGCGTCCCAAAGCAGGGATTTGGTACTCGATGCCGCGGAATTGGATGTGCTCGTAGACGAAAACCTGTGCTCGCGCCGTCAGTAATCAGGGTGCGAGGGAGAGCCAAAAGGCCCCTGGTGGTGAAGGTGGTATGATGCTTACGCCAGTATTGACGGCCGCGTCTTGAGCATCATCAGTGGCAGAGACCGACGATGCCAGGGCCAAAACGAGCAAGTTGAGAAGCTGCATACTGATCGAGAGATGGGAGAGTTGTCCTTTGGCCAAACAGGATGCCTACCGAGGCGACGAGAAGGCACATTTATAGTCCTTTCCCAGTCCATTTTGTCCCATCCGTGTTTTCCAAAATGTCTCATTCATGCTATAGCAAAATGCCTCGACCCCTTCTCCGACTACACTGTCTCGGCTCGCTCTGCCCCCAGGTTTCGTCAATTTGTGGCCGAACTACATCCGACGCAGCCAAGACCGTAATCGTTAGTCTCTGCCGCGCAGCAGTCGAATATTCAGCCAGCCATCAAAAGGTTGTCTCAGACAGTGGCAGGTACGGGGTGGCATGCGCGCAACAAAAGGTCTGGTAGCACAGATACGCAGTCTAGCCACCAGATTAGACGATATTGAATAGAAGCGAGGGAACAGGACCAAAAGTAGAAATACAGCAAGGATAAATGAAACTAACCATATAAAGAAGATGATAGTATTACAGACCAGTGATTTATTTTGTCCTGGTGCTTGTTTTCGCCTGGGCCGAGACACGGAGCTTCGGCCGTCTCCTTCACCAGATGCAACTTTAGATTCCCGCGCCGTATGGATAGTTGATTGGCTGTCCAATGATGGATCGGCAACTCCGACTGCAAGTTGTCTCAACCGTTGTTGTGCAGATCATCGCTAGTGACTCCGTGCCCGTACCAATAGCCAAACAGATTCTAGCCACCACCACGCCGCTGGAGCTGGATTTTTGTCGCAGACGACTAGAAGTATGTATCAGACAGAAAGAGAGGAGTCGTATACGACATCTCAGCAGCCTTCAATCCCGGTGCACGCTCGCAGCTCCATCAACTTATCCGAGAGCACGCGCAGCGTATCCCTGCCGCGAATCATAGACATCGTTCTTAATAGCCGCATATAGTTAAGGGCGGTGATCTTTTCCGTCGGTCGCGTTTTGGGTCGGCGCCCGCTTCGCTTCACACGAGAGCATGCAGTCCATCTTCCCACTCCGCAACTTCCTTGCCGTCGTGCAGCGGCCTTCTCCCGTGGCCTGCTGGCCAAGAGCTGAACGAATGTCGGTGTGGCCGGCGAGGCCGCCTCACGCAGCGCTGTTTTGGCCATTTATACTGCGCGCGATGTGATTCGCGCCGCGCACTGATGACCCCCGCACGTCCGGCAGGTCGTCAACTCGAGCCACCGGCCGAAGCCATCCTCCCGGCCATTTGTAGCAGCCGCCGCCATCACATCTTGCGTCAAGCAAAGTCTGTGGATCGCTAATGCCTGGCTAGGTCAAACGCCTCCACAATGCCGTCATAATATCCTACCAGTAGCTCCAGGATACCTTATAGGATGATGAGCTCGTTTATATTCTGTGTCACATAGCTGCATGTTGATATCGGAAGTCGGGTTCTTGATCATACCAACAAAGACTTCTTTTGAGGCCAGGAGGGCGTAACAAAGTCCATTAAGTTAAAAGGGAGCTATACGTTCTCTAGGAAGGAACGACGTTCCTTGGTGGTGGGCCGAGTGGCCGGTAGCGGGCCACTTGCACAATGTATCGTGAAGCAAGGAGTGGATTTGAAGGCATGTGGTGGCAGTAAGACAGGTCAGAGGGAGAATAAATAACTGACATGGAATCGTTGCCAATAGCGACATGTTTTATTATTGCATCCATTCTTGTGACTGGTCATGTTGGCATCGGAGAAGGCTAAAACAGCTATACTTGATAGTTCGAATTCGCTGGTTAGCAGACGTGGTTTCGCGAGTCTCAAGAGAACAATCAAACCAGCCGATTGAATTGCTCGTACATCTCGAATGCATGCGGGACAGATCTGGTGGCGGTTTTGCCAAAGAATTTGCAGCCACCGGCTATTTTTTGGCCTTTTCAAAACCAACCGACGAGTTTGTTCCTTTGTTCCTATTCTCCTTCCTTGTCGTCCATTATTCTCATGACTTCGTCTTCTGCGTCGCCCCCGTCGCCACTTCTGCGCGCCATCTCGGCCTCGACGTCTTTCTTGCGAGGCATGCCATGTCCCAGTATTGACGGGAGCTCCTCTTTCCGAGTCTTCATCCAGCCGTCCAGACTGCGCATGCCCACCACAAGAAAACCCAGCTCCTCGCGGTCCACGTCAAAAACCTCCCACCAAGCGCACTCGGGCATCGAGGCGCCGAGATCGCGCGCCGCGTTGTATATCGCCGCCGTGGCAAGGGCATGCGGTTGATGTGTCAGATATAATAGTTGGGGGCTCAGCAAGGCCGTGTTGAGGTATTGCGATGCTCGGAGCGAGATCTCGTGTCGTGAATGCGAGAGGAAGTCGAGAGTCTGGAGGTATGTCACTGTGAGGCCATGGGGCAGCGCGACGTGTACATTGAACGATATAGAGTATAGAATTCGAGCCTCCAATGCGAGCATCCTCCGCTGGAATTTGTGGTATTGGTCCTCAGTCTGGTAGTACGCGGCAGGGTCGTTTGCGGCTGTTGCAGGGGTGGACGTGTTGAGAAAGGCCGAATTTGGCGATAAAAGGTATGCGTACACGGTCGATACGTCACGGGGCGAGCGAGGGAACGACCCCATCTTTGCGACGAGGTACAACGAGGCGGCCGAGACATCCTATTCCACGTTAGCATACTCAATCGCCAGTGCGCCGCAAAACGCCTGTTCCGCGAACCACTCACGCTGAACTCGTGTGCCATTGGCGACTCGACAAGCCAGAAGCGCGCCAGGATGACATTCGCCTGTGCGGTCACAGACTGTGGAAGCTCCAGCAGCAGGCCAGCTGCTTGCGTGAGGCATTGCGTCGCGAAGAAGACGGCTTCTTGGAGATCCTGCGGCACGGGTGAAAAGGTAGAGCGTCGATAGAGCTGTTCCGCAGTCGCGAGCGGATTCGTCAAAAGTGCCATTCCCGGGACGCACGACCGAGCAAAACGGATTTTCAAGTCTTACTGGCCTCCTCGATGGGCTAGTCAATGATCGAAGATGGGCGCGCCCGGGCTCTCGGCAGGGTCAAGGTGTTGATGCCATCGCAAAAAGCTACAGTGGGGCTGGCGACTTTTGGGAAACCCGAGAGCTGGAGGAAGAGCTTTCTGTTTGTCTCAGATGCAATGCAACCTTGAAAAAATACGTCCACGAAAACGATGACAGCACTTAATTCATAGCGAGAAATATGCGTACTCTCAGCAATTCCAAGTCGAAAGGAAGTCAAAAGGAACCTAAGAGAGCGGCAGGAGTGGGAATGCCAGAACAAGATACTGAAATGTACGGATACGGACAAAAAGAAGATAAAAAAATAAAAAGTACTTATAGCAAGACTGTCAAAACAATGCGGAAATATAGATAGAAAAGGCAAAAATGCAAAGACAAAAAAGTAAACTTGCGGCCAGTGTGACTCGAACACACGACCTTCAGATAGGTATCTAATTCCGTAGGAATGAAGTTGGACTTCAGTCTGACGATCTCCCAGCTAATCTATGGCCGCTCGTTGTTGGCAAGCAGCGCGTTATTTTATCTTAATAAGGGAGCTACGGTAGCGCCAGCCAAATTTTCTCCCAATTCACCAAAGTCGACAAGCGAAATACCGCCAAAAGGCTCGCCAATGTTCTTCAATATGTATAAAGACCTGTTTGTTCATTTGTGTCGCCATTGCGCGTGCATTTTTTTCACTACGTCTGAGGTGATGCAATCGCTGCAGCCTGGCATATCTAGACCTGCAACCACGGGGGCCTGAATCGGGAAAGCCGGAGAGGAAGAATAGGTAGTGAGTCAGAGTAGACGGTCGAGTGAATCAGAGTAGTTAATTTCTTAACTGTCAATATGGCGTAGTAATTGGCGGAAAATCAAGGACATGGACACACAAACTGTCGCCAGCAGATAGTCGCGAGCCCGTTGTCGCCAGTATACAAAAAGGGCACGTTTCTGCCGCACGAAGTTTTTCTCGCTCCTTAACTGTATAGATCAACGATGTGTGGCTACCAACGGCTTTTCGGTGCTTGCGGCTGCCTCGCCCAGGCTCCCACGCTTTTCCCTCCCAGCGTGCGCGATTGTCCTACGGCGGTCCTTCGCGCGGCGCGAGCCGGCACGCTGATCCAGCGATGCAAATACGACCCGCTGGTGGTTCGGGACAGGGTCCTATTCAGTATATGCAAAGACAGTCAGAAGTGCAGAAATCGAGCTCATCGCAATCGGGTCTGGACATGCTGCGAGTGCCACGCCCTCGCTCTGCGACACGACACGCCGCACTGCACGCGATGCTTTCATGTGCCCTGTCCGACATGCAAGATTTTGCTGAGCGAAGTGACTGACCTGCAGGCTGGAAAGAAATGACTGGCTCTTCGTGTTTCTTGACTTCGTTTTCACGGGTCGTTTTCGACCGCTTGTACCACAGGCTTGGTTTCACGCAGGACAGGACGAGGCGCGATGGAAGGAAATGTATCGGCGTGGGGCTAATTTCATGGGCTGCGTATTTTTGTCACCTCAATACACATGTCATGTAGTATCAACGTCCTTGAGGTTTCGAGAGGTTCTCATCCTTGGTACCGAACCCACTGAGTGAACGTACGTAGTAGCACTCAACTGGTCTCTTGATGCAAGTTGCGTATTATTGTAGTTGCCTAATATTGTGGTTGCATTGTAAGTTGCCTAATATTGTACCACACCATTAAATACCTACGTTGCCCTTGCAATGTAGCCCCCAATTCTTGCTGTTGTGTATTCAAGGTCCGTACTACGAAGCAAAGTTCAAATTTACTCGGTACCAAAGCTCTCTCGAAGTCTCGTGCATGCCGCGCATCTATGACCGAGCCAAGACAAAAAATAAAGAGAAGGACGGATCAATCAAACAATACCGATAAACCCCCAAAATGAACTGCATTTGCCGCACTGAACAATATATCAAGCTTTGTGGCCACAACCGGCCTAGTGAAGAAGCTCCCTAGCAACCCCAGGAAATGTCCCGTCGCTGTTCAATGGGCTTCCTATTTGCGATGCTATCCCAGCACCGAGAAAATCCGCACGGTCTGGTCCTACCAGCCTGACAATGAGCAGTGCCGTGGCGTTGCATGTTTGCAGGCAGGCTGGATTTGCTGCAAGTGCAAGCAGGAGAATGGACTTCTCCACTGCCTTACCAAGCCAAGCAATCTCCCCTTGTCCACATCTCTGGTCCTCGGGCCAGTGATTGACGTGCTCGTAAATTACGAATACTTCTATTTTTATATGCTCCTACGTCCAATTTCATCATAGACATCATTTGCTATTGTTATTAGTATTAGTATGCTTACCGTTGCTGGTTGAACCATCCCCCGCTTGATGCCAGCTCTTCAAGCTCCCCACAGTCTCACGTCCAACTTGCACCTCTCATTACCGCCACCATCCGGTCGCAATCCCCCTCCCCCACGATTCCGACCCATTGACCGTCGCATTGAAGCCCGCCAACACCTCTTGCACCGGGCGACCGTTTGCACTCAACCACCCCTCTTGCACAATGGCTGCCTCGATGACGACGACGCAGCCGCCGCCGCCACCCGTCGGCGAATCGTGGCCGTCGGCGCCGCAGCAACAGCAACAGCCGTTTGAGCTGAACCTGCAGCATGGCCACAAGGACCTGGTGCAGGCCATTGCCTTCAACACATACGGCGACCGCTGCGCCACCGGCTCCGTCGACGGCAAGATTCGCGTCTTCAACAGGCACAAGGACGGCACGTGGCGCATCTGCGACACCTGGACAGCACATGGCGCCGAGGTCCTCGAGGTACTACAATCCCCCCCCCCTTCCCGCCTCCCCCTAACCTCGTTTCTAACGCATTTTCCCCCCCAGCTCCAATGGCTTCCATCCACCGTATATCCCAACGTGCTCGCATCGCTCGGCCTCGAAGGGTGGTTCCGTCTGTGGGCCGAGGATCCGTCCGCAGCGCCTGGTCGTCGGTTCTGCGCCGGGCGCACCTCGTCCGGGCGGCCCATCTTCGACACGCGCTCCTCGCGCAGCGGCAGCGCCTACCGCTCCTTCAGCATGTCGCACAACGACGAGACCAAGCACACGTACCTCGCGCTGCTCACGACCGAGGGCCGCCTCGCCGTGTGGGAGACGGAGCAGCCCGAGGCGCTGCACGAGTACACCAGCCTCGACGAGTTCCTCGTGCTGCCGCAGCGGCCGCCGCGCGGCGAGGAGACGGCCTTTACCTGCGTCTTCGACCCCAACCCGGAGCCCTGCTACGCCGCGCTGCGCGCCGGCGTGCCCACCGACGCGCTCGGGCTCGCCGTCGCCGCCATGGACGTCGTCAGGGTGTACCGCTCGCGGGATACCGTCGCCGCCAGCTACGGCATGGACACGGCCAAGAAGGAGTTTTACCTCGCCGTCGAGGTCAGCGGCCACCGCGGCCTCGTGAGGGACATTGCCTGGGCGCCAGGCAATATCCGTGGCTACGACATGATTGCCACGGCGTGCCAGGACGGCTACGCACGCGTGTTTCGCATCGACACCCCCGTCGACAGCCCGGATCGCCAGTCGTGGGCCATGAGCGCGCTCATCACCCCGGAAAGGTCCCTGCAGCAGCAGCGCGCCGCTGCCAAGGCAGCCGCCGCCGCCTCCCTCGGAACGTCCTCGCCCAGCAAGGACTCGGACGGCACGCAGACGCCGCCGCCGCTGCCGCCGCCGCACAGCCACAACCACCACCCCTCCACGCTCAGTGCGAGTCTAGCGAGCAAGGCCGCCGCGGGGAGCACAAGTAGCGGTGCTGCGGACCCGCGGCTCAGGACGGGCCAGCCCGGCCAGCCAGGGACGGTGGCGCACACGGCGCGCGAAATCTCGCGGCTCGATAACCACCGCACGCCCGTGTGGCGCGTGGGATTCGACGACGACGGCCAGATCCTCGGCACCACGGGCGACGACGGCAAGCTGCTGTGCTATAGGCAGACGCCTGACGGGGCCTGGGCCAGGAGCTCGGAAATGGTCATGATGAAGACGCGGATGGCGGCGCCATGAGGTGCCGCGTGAGGACGGCGCGGGAGCATAATGATGGGTGGTGTGGTGTTGTGTATAGTACTTAATACCGGCGTATTGGGCGAATGTATGGAGTAGGGGCATTTTATTTCTATTTTTTTATGTTCATGTTATTTCGCGTTCTGCTTCCTGCTAGAGGTAAGTATTACCTTGTGCAGCTGCATGAAGCAGTTGAGGTAATAAGAAGAAATACGTCACATCACAAGAAAAGAACTTGGGCAAGTTAATTTGGTTGGGATAGTTTATTCGTGGCAGCTACGCTACCTCAGGACAATCATTATCTGTCAACGCTCCCCAGTCATAATCTCAACCTCGTCTATCCGCAAGGAGGAATAGAAGTTGATAAAAAACAAACGAAACAAATTATGTAAAACTCCAAGCCCTAATAACGCCATATTCATGATGATTCTTGGACAATTTGATATCCTTTCCCAATGCGCAAAACAATAACAGTGGCTGAATCGCACCAGTGTGGCGGCATGTGGGCAGGTGACGTACGCAAAGCGGGCACATACACTTGACCGCTCCGCACTGTGCTCTGTGCAGCACTCTTCTCTTCTATCAGCTCGCAAGGCGGAGCAAATTTGTACACAACGGACACGGCACGCGGAAATGTCGCTTACGCGGCATCAGCGCTGGCAACGGGCGGGACGACCTTGGTGACCTGGTTACCGGCGCGGATGATGCGCTGACCGGTGGAGTCGTTGACATAGGAGACGTCCTTGTTCTCGAATTGAGCGCGCTTCCAGATCTCAACTTCACAGCCGCCACGGAGAACACCGACACGCATGGTAGAGAGAAGGTTGTGGGCGGCGTTGGAGTGGAGGTAGACGCCACCGTTGAAGATCGCCGTGGCGTCCTTGCCAATGGCAGAGCTGATGAGAGCCTTGCCGCCGGGATGCTCCTTGATGAAGTCGGTGACATCGTGGATGACACCAGCGACGGCGACGAGAGCCTTGCCGTTCTTTGATTTGGCGACGAAGTCGTCCCAGGAGATGACGGGGAGCTGCTCAAGGGGCGTGCCCCAGTCGAGGACGGCGCGCTTTTGGTCGAGTTTTTTCTGGAGCTGCTGGACACGGCCCTTTTCAATTTCGTTGGAGCGGAACTGCTTGAGGTCGGTGGCGAGGCCGAGGAACTTCCACATGCAGATGGCCCACTTGGTAGGGTCATACTGCCACCACTCAATGGCGTTGCGGTAGTCGGAGGGGAACTCGTGGTGGAAGTTGTGGTAGCCCTCGCCGAGAGTGATGAGGGCGGTGACGACGTGGTCGCGAGGGGAGTTGCGGTCGTCAAAAGGCTGGTCGCCGAGCCAGTGGGCGAGCGAGTTGACGCAGAAGGTGGCCTGCTGAACGAACCAGATACGGAGAATACCGCCGTAGACGAAGCCACCAAGCCAGTCATTCCAGAGCAGCCCACAGAAGACGGTGGGGAAGATGAGGGCAGTGAAGATGACAGACTTGAGGTAGTTCTTGTGCTGCCAGACGACGACGGGGTCCTCGTTCAAGTCAGTAATATCGGTACGGCCAGTGCGCTTGGGGTTCTGCTTGAAGACCATCCAGCCGAGGTGGGAGTAGAGGAGACCCTTGCGGACAGAGTAGGGATCCTTCTCGGTATCGGTGTAACGGTGGTGAGCGCGGTGGTCGCGGGACCACCAGCGGATAGAACCCTCGACGGCACCGGCACCGACAAAGGCGAGATAGATTTTGAGGGGGGTGGAGGCCTTGTACGAGGAGTGAGCCCAGAGACGATGGTAACCTGACGTCGGTTAGTATCCTGTTCCGCCCTTTCTTTCATTGCTGTCCCTTTGCCACGCATTGTTGACTTACCAGCAGTGATGCCTAGACCAGTGTTGAAGTAGTAGACAAAGGCGAAAATGGCGGTATAGAGCTTGAGGGGCACCCAGTAGGCGGAGATGAAGCCAATCAAGGGAATGATGATGATGAGGGTGGTGTTGAGCCAGTTGACGTGCTTGTGCCAGTTGGACCAGGTCATGGGCGTATCGGCAATGTGCACCTTGTTGGGGTCATAGCCAGTGCCGGCGCGTAGAGGCTTGTAGTCGGTGGTGCCATCAGGAATGGCGGCGGCCTGGGCCTTTGCTTCTGCAGCAGCAGAGGACGACATGATGAAGTCCAGTCGTATGTGTGACGGTGTCCAAGGCAGTCTTGTCAACAACCAATGAACAGGGACGATGGGAGAAGGTTATAGGAAGAAGGAAGCAAAAGTGTGGAAAGAAGTGAAGGGGAGGTCAAGAGATAAAAGAAGGGCAAGGCGGAGCTAATAATAAGAATGGAGAGATGTTTTGTGGTTGAACTCGGAACTCTGGTCCTTGCGCGTCAAACTGCCACAGATTGCTTGTGCCGAGAGGCAAGGAGCTTTTTGCTGGGCGGCGGGGCCGGCTGTGTGCCTGTGCCAGGGGGTGTTGCACGTTTAGGTGGTACGTGGTGGTGTGCTTGACACTGCTTGTTGGGGTGTGGCGGATCCAGCAAGTATCTCGACGGGGCTTGTTTGAGCGCATGTACCGGCTCTCTCTTGGAATTTTCGTGGTATCAATGTTGACAACGGATGCAGGGCAAGAGAATACGAGGCGGTGAAGCTAATGGAAGAGATGATTCATTTCTACCGTGTTGTGACTCTGGCAGCTGGCATGTTTTTATACTGGCAGCTGGCAACTTGTTGAGGCGCGTGTAAGTCAGGGTACAAGATACATGTGCCCAGGTATGTACGTATCAGGCCGTTTGCAAGCCAGCACCAACAAAGTGGGAGGTATCAATCTAGAGGTGCAGCTATAAAGAGGGCCAACTTCCCCAGCATGCGCAGCATCACATGTGCCGAGCCAGAAATCATGAGACTGGACTACTTATGACGAGCCATCCATGAGTGGCATGCAAAGATTGGACAATCAGGACAGCACACTGTGTGTACATAGCCGTCGACGACGGCGTTCCTTGCTGAGCGGAGACCATCAAGATCTGAGCGAGCCGAGGTGCTTTTTTGGCATTGCCAAACTTGGCACTAGCGTGGAAAAAAAAGAATTCTGCAGGGGAGAATCGGTACTTTGAGGTCGCATACTAAATGCATGCACAACACTTGTACCTGGCTCCACCACGGGATAGCGGAACCCAACGCGTTTGGATGGGTTCCCCAACAATTTCTCTTACCGTGCCCAGCACCCAGCATAGGCAGCAGCCCCTGGCCAATCAGGGGCCTTGCCATGATCTGTGCGAGACGCCCTCGTCTTCCGGCTTCACCCTGTCTTCACCTCCAGCCATCATCCAACCATCATTTGCCAATGCTCCATTCCAGTCTTCTCCACACGGGCTGCTCAAATCCAGCTCGTTCCATTGGCACGAGGTGGCGAACAACGGTGTCACGGAACAACATCAACAAGTCTCCGAACAAGCCCCAATCGCTGCCGTCTAAGTTTGCCAACGTGGCCCCCGTACGTGCTGAGTAATAAGCTACATCAGATTATTTCCCAACTTTTGGCGAACTTGGCCAGCCAAATATTGAAACTAAACATCAACACCGCCAGCGATGCCGATGTGTACCTGCAGGCCTTGTCTGACAACTGGGCAACTTGCAGCTCAGTAGCTTCATAGCACCCCCAACATATATACACGCCCATACGACGCTGACTTGACGTCATCAACAGCGATGCGCATTATTTCACCCCGCGACCCTTGGGCCTCGGCCACCGCCTATTTGACACGCGCCAGCCATGGCCTTTTTCTTTCTCAACTTGCGCTTTCTGTAGAACCAGCGTCATTGACTACTACTCTTGCCCTCGAAGCTCTCAGTGTACGAACAACACCACACCTGTTGTGGTCTATCACGTTTCGGCTGTCTTCCGCGTCTAGGCATTTGATCTCCGTCCCGTAGCCAGCCGAGCACCTGTAAGCGCCGCGCGAAAGATGTAACTCAATTTTGGGCGCCATACCACTGCCCAGGTCAGACCGCCTGCTCTCGCTGGACTTGATCATATCCTGGCCCAAACGATTGTGCCACAGGTCAAAAGACGTGCCTGTTGGGGATTTTAGGCGCCTCAAAGAGATTGGCGATAGAGGCCTCAATTGTTTTTCTTCTAATAATTAACTAGATGGAGCAGGGATCGCGCGGTGTAACTAGTTGATGGGAGTGCAATTGATGGGGCGCTTGTTGTCGACTTAATAAGCCACGCAGGCGACCCTACCCGGGAGAGTCAATCGCCTGCATCCATTCAATCACCTGTACTCCACGAAGTGACTTTAAAGCAAACGTAAAACTTGAGGACGAAACTCCTATTTCCCCGTGGGTTGCAAAAGACCACCTACCCATGAAGTAGTGATTTGAGTTGCCGATAGTCTGGCTTGTCTCTGCACACATGTGTTGGATAGTTGATAGCCATACGTGTGTTAAAGCTAATTTGCTACAACCTCGTCAGCGAACTGGCAATCAGACTGGCTCAGGATTGGACAAGGGATTTTTAATGGCTCGTGTGACAGCGATGAAGTGATCTATACCGAGAAAAGCCACGATCAGTGGTCGGCCTCGCTCACAAAAGGCACAACGTAGCGCACTTGGCGAAATACCCTTTACACGAGAAACTCCATGAAGAGTTGTCTCGCCTCGTCCATGAAGTTCCTGCGATGTATTCTTGTGCCGAACGGACATCTTTGTCAATGCTAATCTATATTGAGTCAAGACTCACTCTTCGGCTCAGTCCAGCCATGTGCCTCCCTCTTACAGCTGCCCACCGCCCGTTGCCAACGATACCTGACGTGTCAGTTCCGATCCTCGCTACATAGTACGTCATAGCATACATACGTTCCCCCCAATTGTGAGAGTATTCTTACCCACAGACGTCCATGCGGCATCAAGGTATGATGAGCGTAGGTAGTCTACGGAAACTCAGCCGCACTAAACTAGGTGCACAACTCGCGGCATACGCAGCCTCACTGTTAACGTATGAATAGAATAGTAACTTTCCCGGGCATATTGAGAATGAGCTTGGAGGCCCGATATCTCTGCCAGTAAATGCGGTTGCTCTTTAAATACCAACACGCCGAAGGAGCCCGTTTCAAAATATTTGTCCCTCTCACACCCACATTGTTCTACCAACGTCATTTCCATCTCTTCCGAGAAGGAGAAAACAAAAACCTGCTCAGTAGTTCACGTTCATTTGATAGCATCACTCAGCCTGCTTCACGGATCGTGGTGCCCGGATTCTCGCTCGACGGGCCGTCGCAAAACCACCCAATCCATTCCGCAATCGGCACTCCCCTTCAGCCCCAGGTGGCTTACAACACGGCCGGCTTGCCGTGATGGCGGTCCAGGGCAACGTGCCACACGAATGTCATGGCTTCAACTGGCCAAGCGTCGGGCCGCAGATGAGGCGCGGCACCATCGAAGGGTCTGGACTCTGCGGGGGAAATGTATACGCCTGCTATCCCGTGCCGGTGTGCCGAGCTGGGCATTGTCTATAAGTGGCGGCCAGAACAAATCCGCCCGGCCGCTTTACTTTAAAGTCTCTCGCTCCGTCGCTCTTATTCATCGTGTGGGGTACAAGAAAATTCACCTGAAATCCCAATGTTCAAGTACATGCTCCTCATCTCGGCCCTTGTCGGCGCCGCCATCACCACCCCCGCCGGCGAGCTTGCGCCCGCCGGACTGGACAAGCGATGCAACGGACAGAACCAGTTCTGCAACAACGGCATCCCCTGCTGCGCCAACCTCTACTGCGGCAGTAACACGGTGTGCGCGGCATGCAACGCCCACGGCCAAATTTGCAACAATGGCGTGCCGTGCTGCAGCGGGCTCTACTGTGGCACCAACAGGGTCTGCTCCGCGTGCAACTCGCAAGGTCAGATCTGCAACAACGGCGTGCCGTGCTGCAGTGGGCTCTACTGCGGCACCAACGCGGTGTGCACGGGGTGCAACGGGCAAGGCCAGATCTGCAATAACGGCGTGCCGTGCTGCAGCGGGCTCTACTGCGGCACCAACAGGTCTGCTCGGGGTGCAACGGGCGAGGCCAAATCTGCAGCAATGGCGTGCCGTGCTGCAGCGGGCTTTCCTGCGGCACCAACAGAGTGTGCGGATAAAAGCAGCGGTTCGGGGGCGAATCAGACGAACACCGGGTTCTGGGTTTGGCGGATAGTTTTACATGCCGATAGATATACAAGTTCAAATGAAGACATTTTTTCGTCTAAAATACAGTCATGGGAGAGCATGGCTCCCGCTGGGTATCGTAATGCAAATAACGCTTCGCTCAAGGATGACACTGCAGCGGCGCAAAGCCCTGCGTCCACCGCAAACTGCCCATGATAACAACCATCAGCGCGACGGATACGACGACGCTGACCGAGCCGTAAATGTACGCGCTCTTCCTGCGCAGGCTGCTCAGCTCCGCGACCCACGTGGAGACGGTCGTCAGGCAGCCGCAGAAGCCGTCCTCGACGCCCTGCAGCAGCTGGCACCCCAGAACGCCGCCGCCACCGCTGACCGAGTGGGCAAGGTCCCACGCCATGCCGAGGATGACGGTCCCCAGCACGTTCGCCGCAAACGTGCCGAGCGGAAACGACGGGCGCCGACCGTTGAGAAAGAGGGCCAGGTAGAACCGCGCCAGGCACCCGAGCGGCGCAAACACAATCGCAAACACGACCGTGCCGCGCCAGCGGTCGTGCGGCGGGAATACGGCCAGCAGCACGGCGCCGAGCCAGCCGCCCCAGCCGAGCAGCACGGCGAGCCCGTCGAGCACGCTGCGGGCGCGGCGCACAGGGATCGACGGTGTGTACGGCTCCAGAGCGGCGCCGAGGTGCATGCCAGCGCGGTAGGCGGCGAGCGAGAGGCCGATGGTCTCGATGAGGACGGCGAGCAGGGCCATGACGGAGTAGCCGCCGCTGCGATGGGCCGGAGGGGGACCGGGCATGTCGTTGGCGAGCGCAAGAAAGACGTCGCGGATAAAGGTGGAGAAGCTGGTGAAGCTGCCACAGAAGCCGGTGGCGAGGCCAATGTAGAGCGGGATGGTCTTTTTCGCGGCCAGATGGGCCCTCTTGGCCGCGGCCAGGTCGACGGCGGCATCGCTCGCGGGCGGTGTCGTTCCCCACTCGTAGCGGAACAGCTTCCGGTCCTCGACTAGGAAGCCCATGACGAGGCTGCCGCCAACGTTGGCCCAGAGCGTGGGGAAGAGGACGGGCGCGCCAGGGTACGTCGTCAGGTGGGCGAGGCCGACGCGGGCGAGCGTGCCGAGCAGCGCGAACAGGACGAGGTACGAGAGCGTGTAGAGCTGGGTGGCGAGGCGGGAAGTCTGCCTTGTCGCCTGGGCGGCCATGTCAGCATGGGATGTGGACTGGGATTCGCCGCGCCGAATGTCGTCGAGCGTGTCGCCCGTCGCTGCCGTCACCTCGTCGAGGTTCTCGTACTGGTCGGGGACGTCGTAGGGCGCGGCGTCGTCGTCGTCGTCATCGTCGCCGTTGGTCTTGGCCATGGTGTGGTGGCCGCCAGAGCCGGCCGTGGCAACAGAAGCCATGAGATGGGGGGGCGTGGTTGTTGATGATATGAGCACATGAAGGTTGGGATCAGCGTTGGACGGAGATGGCGGGAATATTTTCTTGGCATTCCGGGTGGAGAAGGTGCTCTGGAAGGACCAATCACACAAAAGGAATGTGCCAGCAAAAAGTGGTGGGCACCCACAGCAGTGCGTGGCGCTCCTCGGAGTATTTTGCCCTAGATCATAGCACTAGAGGGCTGCCGATTGGCCGATCTGGTAATGAGCACATCTCGACTTGCATCGGTAAAACTGCGAATCTCCTCTATTGTACTTTCTCCACCAAATTTTGTACTGTTTATCTTGCCAAGTCGTCTTGTATCATGTACATGCCCGGCAGCTTCCCGCTCGTCCAGCAGTGCAACTACTCCGCACATTGAGCTCCGGGACGCACCAAGCGCAACCGCTCTTACACCAAATTAAATTAGCGCAACTCGCTTATTACGACGAGAACGGACGAACATGGAAAGCAGCTCATAATCCTAGACTCATAGTGCTCGAGATCTGCGCCTCGTCAGCCACGTGATGATAGGGATCCCTCCATTGGCCGTCTCGTGGCCAGCACCACACAATTACGCCAGGCCGCAAGAACGTTCCAGACCCCGAGGTAAGCGAATACGCCATTAGACGGTAGGATTTCCTTGTCGCATAACGGCAGAGACAACAAGGCGTCTCACAAGTCTGCCACGAATCCCGCTCGTCACTATTTGCTACGCTCATTGATCAGCGCCCGTTGCGTCTGCTGACACTCAGCCTCTGGGCTGCATGTGGCTGTCGCCCTGTGCTACTCTGACTTGTAGTTGGGTTTGGGGAAAAGGTAAATTCTATAAAGTCTTCATCCGACTTGATTTTCATTTGTACCGTCTTTCTGACAAGGGGTGCTTCACTTCACTCCTACAATAAAAAACCGGACCAAAAACACCAGTCGCCCAAGATGAGCCTCACCAATGACTTGAAGGACCCATCCCGTTCGGAACAGCCCCTCGACGGCGCCGGCTTTGAGGCCGAAGATCGCAAGTACCCCTTTACAATCTCGTCGTGGGACGACTACCACAACTACCGGCCAACGCTGCCGCCGTCCATGTTTGCGGCGTGGATGAAGTATCACGAATCGCATGGCGGCAAGCCCGACGTCGCTCATGACATTGGCGCCGGTATGATCTTTCCCAACCCAACAGCCTCTTAGCTCACCGAAAAAAAAACCCACCACAACGCTGACCGCTTGTCCAGGCTCCGGCACCGGCGCCGCCTTTCTATCCCAAGTCTTTGCCCACACGTACGTGTCCGATCCCGGCGCGGCCAACATTGCCATTGCGCGCACGCGACTACAGCCCGCCTCCGGATTCACGTTCCGCCAGGTGCCCGCCGAGGTGCAGTGGCCCGGACCGGCTACCGTCGACATGGCCGTCCTCTGCAACGTGCTGCACTGGACCGACGCGCCTGTTGTCATGGCCAACCTGGCCGCGACTCTCCGGCCTGGCGGCAGCTTTGCGTGCTGCATGCAGGCCTTTCGCGTCTACTTTCCGCAGAGCCACAGGCTGGACGCGCTGTGGCTGGACGTGACGGAGACGGTCATGAGCAAGCTGCACAGGGAGGGCGCGCTGAGCGACGCCATCCGCGCCGGCATTCGCAACAGCTACGCCGGGTACGAAGGCGTCGACGTGCCCGAGGAGTATTTTGAGAATGTGCGCCGCTGGCATGTAAATGTGCGCGTTGGAGATGCTACGCCGTACCGGTTTACCAAGGTGGGCGAGTTTGAGGAGAATCCGCGCCGGGTTAGGGACGGCGAGACGGAGGAGGTGGTGCACGACCCGGGCTGGCGGCGGCAGGTGGATGCCGACTGGCTGCGTGGCTTCTTGCGCACGACGACGCTGCCCCTGGGGGATGACATTTGGGCTCTGCCGACGTGGACTGAGCTGGAAAGGGTGATTAATGACGAGTTTGGCGGCCAAGTGACGGCAGAGTGGCCGGTGTATATGCTTCTTGCTACGCGAAAGTGACTTTTTGCTACCTGAAAGTGAAGAAGCGCTAGTCATCATTTTATGAATTATTTTGTCGTATAAACCATGTTTCAAGGGCTTTGGAATATCACTTATTCTCTTATTATTTTGTTTGATTTACAGTCATCATGCGTCGGCTCTCTTTCTATTCTCCTGCATTCTGAGGGCGTGACAAAGCGCTAGTGATGCAGGTTTGGGTTGTGCTAGCCTGCCACCCATCGAAAAGACCATTCGTCTACAAATTATTTGCTTCCTTCTGGTGACAATTTAAAATGTTCCTTTCTGCCTCTTCACACTTCTCCGTCCTTTTATTCCTTGTCTCCCGTTCCAGATTCCTCACTTGACAACCTCCCATCTCAGTCGCACAACAGGGGCAATCTCAGTACAACCCCCAAAATGTACAACACCAGCTCATCGTCCTGCTACTTCAAAACATCGCTTCGCATCTATTCACATCTGTTGACACTTCGGCATCATCCGCCGAGCCCGATTTGATCGGCCGCTTTCGCCCCGTTCAGCCGCCCCAAAGCGGCCCCTCCACCCACCCCCCCCCCCCTCCTCCCCGCCTCCGCATCTGGCCCAAAGCGAAAATCAACCCCACCTTCAGGTACAACAGGTGACAAGCTTCCCGTGTACAATTTTACCCCAACGGTCAGGGACCTCTTATCTCTTCCCCTCTTCTTCTTTGCATCGTCAACTTCTTCCCGCCTCACCCTCCTCCTTTTTTTTTTTCTCTTTGCCTTCTATCCCCTCAGTTGTGAAAGCGCTACCAGTTTTCCTCATCATAGACATATTTCACAGTAGAAACTCAGCAAGTGAATAGAAACAAGCACGCACCCTAGCAGCAACGCAGCAGCAAGCCATGGCTTCGAATCTCCCGCCCAACGTCCACGTCTCGCAGCATCCCAGCCTGCAGGCCAAGATAAGCCAGCTCCGATCCGAATCCACCAGCTCGCGCGAGACAAACGCCCTCGTCCATGAAATCGCCCTCATTGTCGCCTGCGAGGCCCTGTCCCAGTCGCTGACCACCGTTGCCGGACCCAAGGTGCGCTGCCCCCCCCCTCCTCCGATTCGGAGCTCCTACTGACAGCCCAGCAGGACAAAAGCCCTATTGGCGCCGAGTACGAAACCACAGAAGTCTCTCCCAACACCATGTGCATCGTCCCCATTCTGCGCTCCGGCCTCGCCATGGTCGAACGGTTCGTCCCCCCCCCCCCCCCGCCCCGGCTCCCAGCCATCTCAACCCTAACCCTTCACGCAGCCGTCCAGACCATGCTCCCACGACCCGTCCCCGTGCACCACCTCGGCATGTACCGCGAGCCCTCGACGCTCGACCCCGTCGAGTACTACAACAACTTGCCGCACCACATCCCCGCGGACGCCGACGGCGGCAGCGCCTCCTCGCTCGCCATCCTCGTCGACCCCATCATCGCCACTGGCGGCACCTGCGCCGCCGCCATCCAGACGCTCCGCGAATGGGGCGCCCGCCGCGTGCTCGTCCTCAGCGTCATTGGTGCCGACGAAGGTGTCCGCCAGGCTGCGCGGGAGTGGCCCGAGGGCACTGAGCTCTGGGTCGCCGCCGTCGACGCCGACCTCACCAAAGAGGGCATGGTCAAGCCCGGTCTGGGCGATGTGGGTGACAGGCTATTTTTGACGATTGGGAAATGAAGACGGTGTGCTTTAAAACTGTAGCATCAATATATACAAAATTCTCGACTATAACGTGCTCATACACTGTACTGTTCTTCATCGACGAGCGACCTCTCCTTCCAGCAAGTCTCGATCCAGCTGCCACGTACCAGACGGGGCAGCTTTGGCCTCGTGCTCAGCTCCCGACGCAGCTCCTCTGCAGTATCCTGACTATCTCGAGCAAGCACCACATGCGTGAGGCCCTCACTTTCCAGGCCATCCACACAGACACCGCCTCCATAGCGTACATAGCGCGCCAACCTCTCCGCTTCCGCCTCCTCACCCGCATCACCAGCCGAAGCACGATGAACATGCACCACGCACCGTTGAAACATCATGCTCCGCAGCTGCGCCGACAGATCTCGCCCTCTGTCCGCCAGCTCGTCCAGAAACCCGCGCTTGTCGAACGGCCCCTCCCCGCTCTCAATCTTGGGCATGTCGCGCATCAGCGCCCGCAGCTCCTCGAGAGGCAGGTCCCGCGCGTAGCTGTCGCCGTACTGGTCTGTGTTTTGCGCCGCCACGTGCTTGAGCGCGTCCGTCGCGTGGAACAGGTGCACCTCCTCGTACGGCAGCAAGAAGAGGCCCGCACCCGCCTCCGTGTCGGCCTGCAGCTGCGTCAAGCAATCCTGGATCCACCGGGGCCGGATTATGTCCACGGCGCCCTGCTTCATCAGGCTCGCGACCTTGACGACCTTCTTGTCCGCGATGAGGACCATGGCCGTCGCCGGTGCCGCGCGCTGCGAGACGGTGCCGCCGTTCTCCTTGATGATGACTTCCAGCTCCGCCTTGGTGCGCTTAAACGGCTTGAGCGACTCGGATAGGACACAAAACTCGATGCCGTCAAACAGCCCCGTTGTCCGGGTTGTCTGCAGCGGCAGCGGGCCCTTGGTGCTCTCGCCGCCGACGATGACGAGCTCGCGCTTCACACGCTTCGGGTTGCGCCCGCGCTTCTTGTCCTCCATCGTCATGGCCTTGTCTTTGGACTCTTCATCGGCGTGCTGCTTTAAGCTCTGAAACTCGTCCACGGAGAGGGCGCTATCCCACGCGCGATCCAGCCGCAGCCGTCGGAAGCGCGGAAAACGCAGCGTGTAGCCGCGCGCAAACGAGTCCGAAGGCCCAACGCTCGCCGCCTTGACCGACACGACGATGGAGTCCTTGGGGCGGATCCACACGTCGGGCCGCTCCAGCTGCTTGGCCTCGCCGCCGCCGAGCTCAATGAACTGAGAGGGCGGGTGGCGCGCGTCCCAGTCGATCCACTTGCCCTCGGTGCGGTGCCGAATCTCGGCGTAGTCTTCAGCGCGGAAGCCGCCACCGACCTTGAAGAAGCTGAAGCACTTTTCTGGGTCGGCACCAGCCTGAACCTGGTTGGGCGAGGCGCGCAGACCGCAGAGGTAGCTGGACAGCGTGCCACCGCGCTTGCCGGAGCCGTAGTAGCCGCCAATGACGAGGCAGTCGAGCGACTCGCCAAACTCGGACATGTATTCGGGCTTGACCTTGAGCCAGTCGTCGTTGCGGCTGTTGAGGCGGTACATGGACCGCGGATTCTTGAGCACCAGGCCCTCGGAGGCGCTGGCCACGACGTCGCGCAGCAGCGGCTCGATGGCGTCGGGTGATGTGGCGCTCGTGTAGCTGTGAATCTCCAGTCGGCGGTGCACGGGCTGGACGGCCTTTTCTAGCGCGTGGTGGCGGTCGCGCAGCGTATACTGCGTCAGCTGCTTGTCGTTGAGGTACAGGATATCAAAGACACGGAACAGCGGGCGGTGGCCCGAGGCGTCGGAGCCTGAGCGGTTCTGCTGCTCAGCCAGCGCGGCCGTCTTGAGCGTGCCAAACGGGACCATCTTGTCAACGCTCATGTCCCATGTAATCATTTCGCCGTCAAGGATGAGGTTGCGCACGCCTGATGCAAAGGCGCTCTGGAGGTGGCGCGTCAGGCTGGAATTGCTGTCGTGGAAGCCGTGACCATAGAGGTAGGTGTACTCCTTGGCCTTGCGTGACCAGAAGCAGAATCGCTTGCCGCCTGGGGTACTGGGGTCCTCCATCATGTGCATCTGCATGCGCTCGCCGTCGAGTTTCTCCTCGATCCAGAACTCAGGGTCGTCAGGGGTCGGCCGCAGCAGCTCAGTCATCTTCTTGAACGACGCTGGCGTCTGAAACTGCGCCAGCTGCGGCTGGAAGCACTGCATCAGCGTGAGGCTCGCGCCCTCCGACTCGAGCCGCACCGCCGGGTCGTATAGCTCCCAGCACACGCGGCGCAGGCTCGACGACACGCTAAACAGTGACTCCCCGTCAGGGTGCCACAGGTACAGCAGCGTCTTTTCCGTCGCGCCGACCTTCATCTGTCGCAGGACGATGCGGATAAGCCACAGCAACTCCTCTGCATTCATGCGGTTGTAAAACGTTTCAAAGACGCGCACATTCTCGCTCTCGCCGGCCGACGCGGCCAGCTTGTCCAGCTGCTCATTCACCTCGGCAATGGTCATGGTGCCGGGCTCGGTGCGCATCGGGCGCTTCGAGATGGCCTCGTAGCAGCGCCCGGCAAAGTCGCCCGCGAGCCGCGCCGCCGTGGTCTGGCCCGGCAGCTTCCAGTGCAGCAGGTTGTAGCCGTCCTCGGAGTTTTTGTCAATCTTCATCAGCTTGACGAGAAGCTTTCCTATGGCATTCTCCTTCAAGCCGTAGACGCCCCGGTCGCGGTCCTTGTCGGGCAGGATAAGGCGCAGCGCAGGGTAAAAGTCTGGGCCGACCTCCTTGCGCCAGCGCGTGATGAAGCGGTCGATGATGTGGCGGCGCTGCTCCTGCGGCGAGAGCTGCGTCTGCCCGCGGGGGCCCTTTTTGCGCGCGACGCCGCCAGTGGGCTGCCGCTTGTTCTCATTGAGCGGGTTAAAGAGGTTCCGGTACAAGTCTGAAAAGAGCAGTGTTTTGGCAAAGTTATGCGGCCTGTTGGGATATCTAACGCAGAGTCAGCACGAGAGGTGAAGGCGTCGGCTGGTGCGCGTACTTTTCGTCAAGCTCCTTTCGGGCTTCCTCAGAGCCGTACTGGATCTGCTCCTCATGCTCGGCATCATCATCGATCGCTCTGGCTTCCGCTTCGCTCATGGCTGCCGTTCGTCAATTTTCAGGATGAGATCCATCAGTTGACATGACAGATTGATGCTGCGTTGCTAGGATCAGCGCAGCCTTAAATAATGGTCGTTGACCGCGCGACGTTGCTCAAGGCAGAAGTGTTGTGGTGGGTCAGCAGATATGCTAGTTATTAGGCAGCAGCCTGCCTCATCGCGATGAAGGGGGATGAAGAAGCGATCACATTTGGCTAAGGTCCACATTTAATAAAGCTATGTAGAAAATTGGCAGAATGATTTCTGATCTGAATACGTCTTGTGTTTTGATTTTGTTCCTGACTTGCCGTGCGCAACTGGTCAACGTAAAGGACATAAGCAAGGGATCAAATAGCAGGTGTACAGAAGTAAAAAATGTAGTTGATAATGTATAGACAGTATCGATAATACATATAATACATATAGTATAAACTGACAGGTTCCCACTTGACGCATCACTTTGGAGAAAGCCAAATCACCTGGAAATGGCCCGACGCCGCCTCTTCTTCCGAATCGACATGATTCGCTTGCGCTGGACCACGCTCACCCCCCAATTGTAAATCATTTCACGCATAAGAATGATTATTGTAGCCACCACAGTTGGCACAGCGCATGCCCAGCTGCAGAACCATTAGCATCACCCAAGAAACTGACCCAGTCCACTTACAAGTACCAAATCCCCTTCTTAATTTCAGGAAAGAACTCAAAATTCTGGCCAAAGAAGCCCGTGATAAAAGTGAGCGGCAGGAAGATGATGGTGACGGTGGTAAGCTGCTTCATCGACTCGTTCTGGTTCGCGGTAATCGTGTTAAAGATGAGATTGATGAGATTTTCCGACGACTGCTTCAGCTGCTGCAGCGACTCGGTGATGATGATGCAGTGGTCGAGCACATCGCCGAGATACGTGTGCGTCATGGGCGTCACCAGCACGCCGCTCGCGGGGTTGACGAGCTCGCGCGCGGCCTGCTCCTGCGTCATGCGCGTGCGGTGGTCGCGCAGCACATTGACCAGGTTGTCAATCGGCAGCAGGAAGCGCAGCATCTTGTTGATCTCGCTGATGCAAATATACAGGCGCTTGCTCTGCTTGATGCTCGGCGCCGAGATGACGTCGAGTTCGAGGTCGCCGAGAATGTCCGTGTAGGCGGCCGTCAGCGGGATGGCCAGATCGATGATGGCGTCCATGATGCCCTGGACGAGCATGGAGGCGTCGCACGAGTCGCGCAGGGTCGTGCCCGGTGTGCCGAGGCGCTTGATCATCGGCCGCTCCACGTCGCTGGCCGAGGCCTCGAAAAAGGAGATGACGGTGTTGTCCGCGGTCAGGAAGATGGACACCTGCTCGGCGGAAATGGCCATGCTGTAGGGGGCCAGCGACGAGTGCGCCTCCATGAACTGCGTCCGCGCCTCGTTGCCGCTGGCCTGGTAGCGCTGCAGCGTTCGCGGCATGCTGGTCTCGGTCAGGTCGGCAAAAGGCGGCGCCGCGTCTTCGGCGCGCCGCTTCTCCAGATCGGCGGTGGCCTGGTTGCCGCTGCTGAAGAATCGGCGCACGGCGGCCATGGTCCTGCCGGACGAGGAGCTGCTGCCGGAGCTGACGCTGCCGTCGTCGGGCTCGACGACGTGCACAAGCTTTTGCAGCGTCATGATGATGAATGCATGATTGGGGTACCTGCAGTCGTTAGGCCAACGCCAATTGAGTAAAGGGCATGTCTGTGACTGACCAATCGACCTTGGTGCGGTTACGCAAGTTCATAATGTCCTCAATGGCGAGCTTGTGCAGGCCCTTTGTCGAGCCGACAGCCTGTATGACGTCCCAGCTCAGGCCATTGATGTTGATCCAGCGGCATTGGGCCCAACTCTCCTTGGGCCGCTGTATGAACTCGATGAAGCCGTCGTTGTCAAAGTGCCACTGCTCCAGGCGCTCCAGCGAGAAGTCGACAACAGTAATCTCGCAAGGCGCGGTCAGCTGGGGTACCGAGGCGTGTCCGCCGTCAGGCAGCTTCGGGTCATAACCGGGCTCCGCGCCGGGATACCAGCCCATGCCGGCGGCGCCGTGGAAGGGTATCTCAAAGTCGTCATCACCGGCATCAAAGGTGCGGAACGTGGGCGCGCGACTACCGCGCCGCCGCAGCCCGGCAGGACCAGAACCAGGGGACGTTGGGCTCGCGGCGCTGGGCGGGTGCTGTTGTTGAGCATCGCGCGACAGCGGGGGGATGATGTAGGTATCGGAGCGCGCGTGCGCAGGGAGGACGGGCGGGGAGAGCCGCGACGCGGCGGCGGCGGCCTCGCTGGTGAGATTGTAGCTCACATGCTGGACGGGAGGGCGCGAGTCAAGAGGGGCGGTCGCAGAGCCGGCAGGATGGGAGAGCGCGTCGTCGTCGGGTGCAATGGTGGTGGTTGCTGCGCTGCCCGGACGCGAGTCGGGGGATGGCATTACCACGCGCACGCCAAGAATACGGTTTGGTGATGCAACGACACGGACGGTGGGGTCATGGGCGGGTTGGCGATGCAATTGCAGACTTGGCTCTGGGTGCGGACATGGGGCTGAATTGCTGATGATGTTGTTTTGGTGACGATGCCAAGTCGCGCGACGATCTTCGTTTGTTACAGCGTTAGCTAGGTACGTACTTGGGTATTATGGGACACGAGGGAGATTGAATTGAGCACACTATTATTATCTACGATCTATTTATTATTATAAGTGTACCATCTTCTTGATTCTACTCTTTTTTTTTTTTTTCTATTCTGTCCTTTTCATCTTCTTCTCCTTTTTTTGTTCACCTTCTGTTCGTTCAAAGTTGCTGACCTTGTTCAATGTATCCACTTTTTTGTCGCCTATGCAAAATGCAAAGGGAGGAGAGCTTGGCGACTTACTCCGTAGTGTGGCGCGAATAGGAAGGAAAAAAGAGGCAATGGTCTTTTGTAGTGGGAATGATTCAAAAGGACAAAATATGAGTGGTAATAATAACACGTTAATGCCGAGGTGGCATCCACTCCAAAGATTCTCGCGCATGATTGATATCTGGTCGTGTTTGCGTGTTTGTGTGGGACTTGCCTCAAGTCCGTCCTTCGCAACCTCGCTGGGCAGCATTGGGCACTGTTGTAACGAAATATGTTTCTCGATTTTTTCATCTTCCTTTCCACTCGTAAGGGTGTTTTGGACCCCGTAATTTGGCGAACCGATCATCGTGTGCACGGTGCACCTGTCTCGCACCTCGCTCAACGGTGCGGGGCCGCTCTCCAGAAAAGCCGTTGACCGGAATCGTCAAGAGGTGCAGGACAAACCCCCAAGACACCCAAGACACCCAAGACACCCAAGACACGGTTCTGTCATTTGTGATGAAGTTCCGCCCCCCCTGTCCGCTGTGGACGGCGATCAGCCGGCGCTGCGGCGTTGCGGGCAGGCAGGCAGGCAGGGCTCAGGTGTGGCTTGGATGCGCCCCAGTGGGTAAAGTGATCTTGCAGACCCATGGTGGAGATCCGATGTCCGCCAGAAAAACGTTATGTTAAGATCGGTCAGTTGTCAGAAACGAAGGCGGCACGGCCGGGTACCTCGACCAAGATGCTTAATTCAGTCCATGTTTTGTGATTGCGGACTGAGTAGCCGAGTGCCGAGGCGGTATGCGTGCGCTACTATTACGCGGTACCAAGTGCCCGGGGTGCCTGCACGTTCGCTATGTTTTCCTGGTACCTTTTGTCTCTTGGCGCGCCATGTCTTTTATTTTAGGCGTGGCTGCGAGACATGAATGCGCCCTTACTACTGGATGGCCCAAAGCGTCGGATTACCAGCACAAGTGTCTACTCCGTATTAGGGTCTCATTGCGATGCATATCTGGTGTTCCATTGCACCGGCTCCCTTACCTCCCGTGCCACGACATTCTGCAGCGAGCATTCTCGGGTGCCTCTAAACCGTCGGGGAAGGATGGTGGCTGATGTGGAGGCTTTCGTCATTGTCATGATACTTCAGCCGTCTATCTTCTGTCTGTCTCTCTACAGGTACTAGTCATCTGTTTGCACAATACGGAGTACACGCTGTTTTCTGTCAGCTGCGAGGGTCCGTCTCTCTCTTGCCAGCTGCCACGTTGCATTCCGCCAGCTGCCCACCAAACGCTGACCTCACGGCCAGCTGCTTCCCCTCTCATCAGGCTAACGTATTATTGAAATATTGAAATAGTAATCCGGCGTTCAACCCCTCTTTTTGCTCTCGCTTCTCTCGCTTCAGCCCCTGTATCCCCTGTACTATCCCTCGTCCCGTCTGCCCAAGCTTCACTACCACAACCCGAGTACACAATTCAATACCCAATAAACTACCTACCACACATGCCTCCTAGCTCGCACACTATGACCTGACCTGATTAATGCAATTCTGTGGCTTTGGCAGCCATTCATGACTCACCACAAATTCACGCACTCCAAAATGTCCGTGTCTCGGTAGGTACGTACCGCGCCGCCCTCCTTACAGCCCATCTCCGGCCCCGTTCATCTGCGTCTTCCCTCGTCTCCGTCACCACCACCCCACATCACCACCCACAACACCATCATAGGGTTGCAAAGTGAGGCCTTGTTAACTAACGGCACCGCATTGCTTCAGGCCGTTGCTACCGCCACAGCGCATCCTTCTCTCACGTCTCCCGCTCTATATCCCCTTCCCCCCTCCCCGACATATCTCGGACTCCCATGTCCCTACCCAAGAACCATCCTTCATCACCCACCATGAGTTCCAACATTATCCTTTGCGAGACGGGCTATTATCGATCTGCCTGTGTCGAGTGCCAGCGCAGGAAGCAAAAGGCAAGTTTCGATGGCGATTCAAACACCCAGGCCCACGCGCCAACTGCCGATGCACCCCAGCCTCAATCTCCAACTCAACCGCTGTCCCGCCATTGCGCGACGTACTTCGCATTGCCCGTTGACATCCGGGAAATCTGCTTGCCCATCTAGAAACCCCCTGTCAATTGCCAGGTGCTAACACATTCTCAGTGCAATCGCGAATGGCCCTGCGATAGCTGTCGTCGCCGCAAGGTACCCGATGGCTGCCGCTACAATGAGACCACAGTCCCCGGAGACTCTTCCCATACCCTGGACAAGACAGACATCTTCCCAGATCACTCGTTCCATCGCACCAGTCTTCATGCAAGCGAAGGCCAAGTCCTCGAGGTCCTTGCTGAGCGTGCCTTTATCAACCTCGGCATCGACAGTGCTCCCAGTGTGAGAACCTCTATCAGCCTCTTTGCCTCTCATCATCTCTTTCTCACACTGTAAATAGGAAGATGCTCCTCCAGAACAGAAGCAGGACTTGGTCGAGCTTGGCTCCTCTGCCCAGTTTGACCGCATCATCGAGTTGCTTCCTCAGCGACAATTAATGGGTATTTCAACAGCCTCTATCATTCCTTGCACCATCCTTGCACCATCCTGACACCATCTAGACAAACTCATCCAGCTCTTTCTCAATGATGTCAATTTCCACTACTACATAATATACCCCCCCGTGTTTCTACAGGAATACCACATCTGGTGGGATCGTCGCGCTGACGGCAAGCCCACTTCTCTGCAATATACCTGTCTCATCGCAATGCTCTGCTCCTGCACTATCCAGCATGCTGCGGACGACTTGGAAAAGGCGGTTATTGCAGAGTACGGAGAGCATGTCCATCCCGTCTCTGAGAAAATGCATGCTGCCGTCCGTGAGTTATCTGGCGTTATTCCCGTCGGCCACTATCACATGGTCAATGTTCAGCGCTTGATCCATTCCTGTTACTGGTACAAGGCCGAGGCTCGTTTTGTGGAAGCCTGGCACGTTTTGAATCAGGCTATACTCGAGGCTAAGGAGCTTGAACTGCATATCGAGCCCAGGCCCGATACTGTGTCCGAGTTTGACCGTGAAATGCGTCGACGTCTGTGGTGTATCCTCGACACCTGGGACTGGTAAGTCATCAAATCTTAGACGAGTAGAACCTTGCTCACAAGGCAACAGGCAAATATCGTCGGGTCTGTCACGGCCCAAGCTCATTGACCGTGGTGGTTGTACCGCTGAGCTCCCCGAACTGACTCTCGAGCGATACGACCCTTCTCCCTTGGAGCACATGAAGATGCAGTCCCAGCTGACTCGCGAGCTTGCTTCACGTTTTGGCGCCCCCAAAAACATCATCTCAACTGAGGAAGTTCAGGAGTACAAGGTTATTATTCTTGCCTGGGTCCGCCAATTTCCTAAAATTTACGACTTTTACGACCCAGACACATCTAGAGACGACGTCCACCCTTGGATCTTTCCCCACAGATTCTATCTTTACACCATGGCCTGCTTGCTGATTTTAAACCCCATTCGCCATTACATGGTTAAATCCTACACCAAAGACTCTCCTCCTGATGAGCTCAGGTGCCGCGCCGATGGCCTGTTCTTTTCCCTCATTCTCCTCAAGACCCAGCGAAAATGGGTAGATAAAATCAACGGTAGAGATGGACGCCTGCACTTCATCGTCTTCTCCATTTTCGACACTGCCGCCATTCTTTGCACCGCTCTGGTCAAGGACCACGCAAACACCATTGAGAACAAGGGAGAAGTTTTGCACGCTATTGCAGAGTCTACGGCTATGCTCAAGGCTTTGGTCAACATCTCGGAAACGGCAAAGATGTCTCACGACATCTTGTACCGCCTCACCAAGAAGCTCAAGAAGCCCAGCGTCTCAAAAGATTCGGGCGATACAGGCCGTAAGCGCACAAAGCTGTTTGCTGTGCCGCCGTCGAAACATGCGTCAGCCACAGCCTCTGTGACCACTATCTCGATGAAACCTCACAGCACAGCGAACAAGGTTGTACCGCCACCTGTCCTCGCGCCTGTTCAGGCCGTTCCTTCTACCAATTCACCCACAAATACTTCTCAAACTTCTTCTGGAGCCTACGTCTCTCCCTCGCAGGGAAGCTTGGATGGCTATGACATCCCTTCATCTAACCTGGGTGCGTATAGAAACACATACAGCGACCCTCCGATGTATCACAACCATTCAGCCATGAATCCCTCGATGCCTGGGCATGTTAGTGGTGGCTCTGCTGCAGCACATACAATGCTGCAGCCCAACCCTCACATGACTGCGTCACAAATTATGCACCAACAAATACCACATATGACTGGAATACAAGACGTTAAAAGCCTATCACACCAGTCGGCTGTGTCGATGCCTATGTCCATGGCCGACCCTTCCTACTACCAGCCCATGCAGGCAGATATGCAACCCCCTATCGAGCCTAGCCGAGCCATGCACAACAGCAACTCTCAAAATAGCCCCCCGGTACAGACGCTCGGCTACGGACACCCGCTGCCGCCGCCGCCCGGCAATGGCATCTTCAATATGAACATTGCCGACGACGTGCCCGCCATCGCCAACCTCTGGGACGCTCCCGCAGGATCCATGGACCCCATAATCTCCTACTCCATCATGGGCCATACCGTGCCCGTCAACGTCGTGCCTCAGCCCCGCGAGCTCTACATTGGCGGCCAGCCACAAGAGCACATTGTTCCCGAGCTCAACCTCTCCAACCTCACCGAGGCTGAGATTGGCGGCCTTGCACCTCTGTGGAACTGGCACTCGAGCAACCTGTTCCCCGACCACGCAAGCAACGGCCCACCTGCATAAGTAGCGACCCCCTTCTGATCCGGAGCGGACCTCTTAGTTCTGCTTTGTATTGGTATATATATATGGTGTGTGTATCACTCCATGCGAGATCCTATAGATAAACAGTTGGTTAAGGAGGAAAGAAGCTGCCTAGCCCAGGGGACGAGGAGGACACCCTGACAGGGGTAGACGCTGCCACAGGCGACACGGCACATTGTCACGTACACAGGTGCACACACTATATCAGCAGGCGCCCGACCGCAACATAGCTATAGGATTCATCATCATCTTCCCTTTCGCATTATTACATAACACCCTCCATTATCACGCTACTAGTAGCTTTCTCTTATAGGGCGAGTTAGATAACAATATATACCGGTCTATTAATAAGGACTATCTATACCTTATATATAAGAGAAATATAGTAAATATTAGAAATATAAGAAATATAAGGAATATAAGAGATCTAAAAAATATCAGAAATATTAATAGAAACTATAATAGGCTATTTTAATCTAGTTTAGCTAGTTTATTTACTATTTCTTATCTGTATTTTCTATAACTATAGTTTCGGTCTTGTTGGAGCTTCCTAGACCAAGCTGCGTTGTATCCCAGCCCATACTCTCGAGGTAGGCGCGGAAGCGCTCGTCCTCGTTTGAGATGGTTTCCTGGCCGACTGTAGGCACCAAAGTCAGCGTAATGATGGCTGACAAAACGCACAGGCTGGACGCGACCCAGAATGGGTACTGGGCCGACTCGGTATTGTTGCCGCCGGCCTTGCTAATAAGAGGAAAGACCCAGGTGCCGACAAAGGCGCCAATCTTGCCGACGGCGGCGGCGATGCCATAGTAGCGTCCGCGGACACCCGTGGCGCACGTCTTGGCGGCCAAAAGACCAATGTTGTTGCCGGGACCAATTTCGCCGAGGGAGAGGAAGATGCCGTAGACAATGGCAAAGGCGGCAATGTTCTTGGATATATTGGCGTACACACCGGCCATGATGAAGCCGACGAGGGCCTGCGCCAAGACACCAAAGGCAAGGGCGCGCTTAGGACCGATCCAGTCGGAGATGAAGGCACCGAGAATAGAGCCGGGGAGGTAGAACAGGTTGATGACGGTGTTCCAGCCAAAGATCTGGGAGAGCGGTGCGTCTTTGCCGTAGATGCCGGATAGGATGGTGGAGGAGTAGATGCCGAAAGCGTAGACGGAGAACTGCGAGCTAGGTCAGTAGTGGTAAGGAGGAGCGAGCGAGGGGGGCAAGACATACGTTGTAGAGGAACCAGATCAGCGAGACGCAGAAGAGGCGGAAACCATAAAACTTGAAGACGAGGAGGTAGGGCGTGTGGTTCTCCTTGAAGTCTTCGGGCTCCTCGAGCTTAAAGCGGAGGTATAAGAGGACAAGGGGGAAGATGACGCCGACACCGAGGGCACAGCGCCACATTACTTCGAGGTTGCTGGTTCCGGAGGCAATGACAACTGGTGCGTGTAAGTAGGTGTATTTCATCTTGGCGGTGAAAAGCAACTCACAGGGCATAAAGGCACCAATGACGAAGCCACCGTTGATCATGGTATTGGTAAAGAGGATGAACCAGCGATGGCGCGTGCCCGCCTTGAGCTCGCCCGTCGACTCGGCCGCGCCGACACTGCCCGCCGGGTATTCACCTGTTTCCAAACGTCAGCCATTGTGCGCGCGCAGTCACGTAGGGGAAGGCAAACCTCCAATGCCGACGCCGACAAAGAAGCGCCAGGCCGTCAGCATGCTAAACATGCCAGCCGGGTCCTTCCAGTAAGAGCCGGTGGCGAGGGCGGTAAATACGATGAGGATAATGGTGGAGAGGGTCAGCGAGTTAGCGCGCGACCAGTGGTCGGAGAGGAAGCCAAAGGCCAGCTGGCCGACGACGATGCCGGCAAAGGCGATGCTGGCGACGGACTGGTGGGCGGAGGATTCGGTGTAGATGGCGCCGTATTGTCGAGTGAGGATGGTGTTGACCGAGCCAATAACCTGTTTTGCTTGTGAGCAGATTTGTTCTTGGTTGTATGGTGAAATAGACCATGTGCTGCTTCGAGGATGACAAGCCTCCGGGGAAGCGGGGGGTGTGGAAACGCACATTGTTGATGTAGCCATCGGAAAAGAGACCGGAACCGCAGGCAAAGACTGGCATCATGGTCTTTGTCCAGCTCTTTTTTTGAGGCGCATTGTTTTCCGCGTCGACTGTCGCCGGCTCGGGCTTCTTTCCAAAAGGAAACATGTTGACGAGGGTGACGGAGTCGAGATAGTCGTAATCTTTGCGGATCTTGAGAAGAATACTGAAGAGAAGGAAGAGAATGGAGAGCAAAGATGATGGTTAATAAAGGGAAAAACGAGAGAAAAAGAAACATTGCGTACTATAATATAAGTTTATAAGATGGCAACCACGACGGGTCACGACCCACTGACCAGGTGGTATAGCGTTTTCGCCTAGACTATTGTTTTTTTCATTCGTACCATACTATTAACGCTTTTTATTCATTTATTTCATTTATTTCATTACCATGCAGGTGACAAAAAAAAGGCCACACACATAAGTCTATACTCTATTATTAAGAAGGTTAAACTATAAAGAGGAATAACGGCATTATATAAGTATAAGTAAGATGAGTAAAATAAGAGGGACAGTTTGAACAAGGAAAATTAAAAAGAAAAAGAAGTTAATAAACAGTAAGAAAATAGTAAGAATAAGGAAGAGGTTAACGTTAGTGTTCCTGACGGCGGGTTATTTGTGTTATTTGTCCCCCAGGTGATCACCTGGATGCCCTGAAGAAAAGGCGCAAAACAGAAAGAAACAGAAAAAGACAAGAAAAAGCAAAGTTGACAATGTATGGAATATATTGGGCCGGGGTGCAGCGTTTCCCCATCCCCATTCCCCATGCGTACCCCCACGGGCGATTTTTCTTCTTCTTCTCGATTCCTGTACCTTGTGAGTATATTTGCACGTGTTTCCTTTTGTTGACCCTGTGCAAGCAGGCAACTTAAAGCTAGCCTCTTATTAGCTAGCGCGTAGGCAGGAGACCTACTTTTAAAGGCTATAGACCTATTAATCCTAGCTATTAAGGAAGGTAGTATTTATATTAAAGTTATCTAGATTATATTAATTCTTAAGAATTAAATTAATATTATTATTACTTTTATTATTATTTAAATATATTTTAATTTTAATATTAATTAATAATTATTAAAAATTATAAATAATTAAAATAAAAAAAAAGTAAATTAATTATAATTTCTTTTATATTACTTAAAATAAAAGATTACTATTTATTATAGCCTATAAAGATTATTTACTTTATTATTTATTATAAAAAAACTTCTTTTAAAGAACTTAATTAGAATATTTATTATTAAATTAATAATCTATATTTAACTTAAGACCTTTTTAAAAGGATTTATTAATAGAATAAGCCTAATTTTTATTACTTATTAGTATTAAATATAATAATAAATATACTTTTTATTAAATCTAAAAGCTAGAAAATAAAAAAAATAATAAATAACCTAAGAGAATTCTTAAAATCTTTATTCTTAGTAAATAATAATAACTAAGATTATTAAAAAGCTTATTAAGAATATAAAACCTTAAAATATTTATTATTAAGCTAGTCTTAAAGAATAATAAATAGGCTAAGAATAAAAAATAAAAGTACTATAAAACTATTATTATTAAACTAATTCTATAGTATAATAAAAACTATAATAAAAAGATAAATAAAAAACTAGTTATTAAAGATTAACCTAAATATAGTAATAAAAAAGGATTTAAATAATATAGTTATATAAATATAATTATATTTTAAAATATTAAAATAGAAATATTAATTCCTTAATAAAACTCTTTTTATTTTTTAAAAAAAGTTTAAAAAGTAATAATTAGCTATATTTAGTAAGCTTAGCTAATATATTAAAAAAGAACTTTATAATTTTCTTTAAAGTAAAAGTATCTATATATTAATTAGACTAGGTATTAAGATATAGAACTAACTAGTAAAACTATTAAAAATAGAAAGGCTATTAAAATAGCTAGAAAAGAATAAAGATTACCTAAATTATATTAAAATACTATAAGCCTTTATAATATACTACTAACTAATAACCTTAACTTTAACTAGAAGACTTATTAATAAATAGGTATAAAAACTATTCTATTTAAGACTTTAATAAAGGTAAGAATTAATATAAAAAGAATAAAATTATTAAATAAAGGAATATATATTATAATACTCTAATATATATAATTTAAATCGAACCTAATTTAATACCTATAATTATAAGGAACCCTAGTAATTAGGGGACTATATACTATTAGTAAAGCTAGTACTACTAGTATTAGATATATAGTAGCTAAGGATTTATAGTAAGTATAAATTATATAAGATAACTAATTAGCTATAAGATAGAGGGGTGCCTAGAGTTAACCTAAGAAGGAATTAGTTATAAGATTAGTAAGACCTATATATAAGTTAAGCCTAAATTAAGACCCTAAGTAGACTTATAGGAATAGGACTATCTTATATAAGTTTTAATTAGTATTTAAATAGTATTTAAACTCTAATTAAAAGGATAGGTTATCCTCCTTTTAGTTATTATAAAATAAGGGGGATATTTCCTAGAAGGAAAAAAGGGATAAGCTTTAGTCTTAATAAGTAATATAACCTACCTTTTTCCCTTCTTACTTTTCTATCTAATCTAACCTAACTATTATATATATATCTTAACTAGGGAAATAAAGGTATATAAGAAGATTTAAATAAATACCTTATAACTCTAGAATTCCTTAGAATCCTTAAAGACTAAAAAGGTAATTATTAAACCTTAATTATTAATAACTATAATAGTAAATATCTTATAGCTAATATTAAAAGTAGTTATTAAATCTTAATTATAAATAACTACTTTATTAACTATTTAATAATAAATACTATAGTTAAAAGTAAAGAATATATACTTTATAGAATAGTTAAAAATAACTATTTTTAAGGCTTAAGATATAATAAAAATAGTTACTAATAACTATTTAAATAATAATATACTAGCTATAATCTAGGTTAATATAACCCTAGTTATTATAACCTAACCTATAATTAACTAAGATTTAATTTATATTAAAAAGATTATAATTCTTTTTAGTTAAAGATAAATATCCTTTATAAACTAGTTAATCTTAAAAAGAACTTCTAAAATACTAAAAAGTTCTCTAGAAGCTATAAAGATAACTTCTTTAATATTAAATTCTACTTATTCTTTAATAAATATAAAAGGTTTAAGATCCTAAAAGATATATTTAATTAAATATTCTTTATTATATTAAGAGATTAAGCCTAGAACTTCTATATTATAAACCTTATTAATAAAAGTATAAAATTTAAGAAGCTTATTATAAATATTAAAGTATATTTTAAGCTAGTTATTAAGATTAATAAATACTATTAAAAATAGCTAGCCTTTTCCTTTATAAATATAATAAAAAAAAATAATAATAAAAGTATAACCTATTATTTAATAATTATAACTAATAGAATATAAAGTCTATATTAAAGAATATTTAATAGCTAATTATATAGCTTTTAAGACCTTATATAGACCTTTTAAATAGTAATTTAAAGTATCTTAGCTTATACCTTTATATTATTTAAGCTAGCTATAAATTTTAAAAAGTTATTAGTTAATATTTAATAATTAATTATTATATATAAATAAATTAATAAGCTCTTTATAAATATATTTTTTATAAATTATAAATTTAAAAGTAATAATAATAATAACTATAATTAAAACTAACTTTTTAATTATTATTAATAATTATAAAAAAAGAATAACTTTTATAATAAAAATAATTAAAAAAGCTAACCTTTAAAGAAGTACTTTATTTATAAAAAAAAAGATATTAATTAATTAACTACTTTTAAAAAGAATATAAAAAGGCTAAAAGAAAGTAGTTTAATAAAAATTACTTAAAGCTATTAACTATTAAAAGATACTAAGTATTCTTAGCTAAGATTAAAGGTATTAAAGAAAATAAAGAGATTAATAATATCTAAAAAATAATTAATTAATTCTATATAAATATAGATAATTAAAATAAAGAAAAAAAGATAAATAATAAGAATAAAGGTAAATAGTTAGCTTATAACTTAGTATTAACCTTCTTTATAATAGAATACTTTATAGTAATAAAAGCTAAGCTATTATTAAAAGATATACTAGCTAAGTTAGCTAATAATACTATTTATTACTTTTATATTAAAGAAAACCCTATAAAATAAAGAGATTATAAAGATAGCTAAGTCTTTATTTCTAAAGAAAGATACTTATTAGGTATCTTTAAAAGTATCTTACTTAATATAGAAGTAGCTAGTTAATTTAGTATTAATATACTATAAATCTAAGTATTAATAAAAATTATACTAATAATCTAAATTAAATAAAATAATAAAATTAGGAAGATAATATTCTTTAGTAAAATAAACCTAATTATATTATTAGATATTATTAAGCTATAAATAGTAATTAAGGATCTTAAATTCTAAATCCTTTTAATATTAACCCCTTTCTTAATATTCCTTAAAAATATAGATTAACTTAATATTTAGTTTAATAACCTTATAAATATCCTTATTAAAAGTAATATTATTATCCTAATAATTAAGTAATAAAGGCACCTATTTTAGCTATTAAGCCTAGCTTTAGTAGTAGCTTTCTACCTTATAGAATAAAAGCTTAGGTAGCTATATTAAAGATTTAGCTACCTATTAGCTTATTATTTAAATAATATTTTAAAGTATATTAATAAAGACTTTAATATTAATACTTTAAAGAAGATAATAAAAATATATAAAAATTACTAATTAAACTAAAAAGCTTTTAGCTAATTCTACTTTATAATTAAAAATAATTATAAATTTAACTATAAAATTATAATAAATATTTATTATATTAATAGTAAGCTAGTTCTTTATATTATTAATTTAATAATAGCCTTTTAAGCTATAAGATTTCTTTAAAACTAAGATTAGAAAATAAAGAATATATAGAATATAATTCTAGAATACTAGATTAATATATATATTAACCTATTTAATTAAATTATTTATAATACTAAAAAGAACTTTACTTTTATTAAATTTAAATACTATATAAATAACCTTTATATTTAAATCTAGGCTATCCTTATTAAGGTTTATAATAATATAAAAAAGGTAGAAAGGTATTATAATATTCTTTATTAAGTATTTAAGGTTATTAAAAATAATATTAATAATATTATAAATAAATATTAAATCTTTTAAATAGCTATTAAAGCTATTAATAATATAGTAAGTCTAAATAACCTTATTTTAATATTATTAGTTTTTAATATATACTCCTAAATATCCTATTAATTACCTCTTTATTTAAATACTTATAAATAAGGTAAAGTAATTTAAAAAGTAATAATAAAGGTCTATATTCTTTATTAAAAATATTAAATTAAAAAGGTATAAATTTAAAAAAATAGGCTAAATATAAGCCTTCTTTATTAATTACCTTTATAATTAAATATCTTTATATAATATAAAAAGAAAGAATAATAAGGCCTATTTAAAATAGTAATAATAAAAAGTAAAACCTATATTATTAAGATACTAAAAGGACTATTAAAGTTCTATTTAGTAGTAGTTTATCCTTTTTAAAAGGATAAGATAAAGAAAGAAGGGATAAGAAAGATTAAGGTAGAATATAAAAAGGGGGGTAATAAAGGTAAAAGTAAAGTATAAAGAAGGTTTAAAATAATAACTAAGAACCTCTTTAAAAATAAGAATATTAATAAAGCCTTATTAGTACTACTAAGGTATAACTAGGAGGTTATTATTATATAGTCTAGCTAAGAAATTATAGAATTAAAAGACTAGGTATCTTTTAGTAATATTATAAGCCTAGCTTTTAATTAAGACTTTAATAAAGGCTAAGCCTTTAATAAAAATACTATAAGCTTAACTCTTAATTAAGATATTAATAAAGATTAAGCTTTTATTAGTAGTATTAAAGAATTTAAAGGTAAAAGGAATAAAGAAAATAACTTAGTAAGATTAAAGTTAATATATATTATTAAATATAATAATTAAACTAAATACTAAGTAATAATTCTTACTAATATCTAATCCTACCGCTAGCCTAGTTTAGCTAATAATAGATAATAAAAGGTTTTTAAGCTAAAAAAAAGGGAAATTTTATTTAGCTATATAGTCTAAACCCTTTTAAAAGGGATAAGATTATAAAAGGGGGGGTAAAAAAGATAATAATAAAAAGATTATTAAAATTAATAAAAAATAAATTAATAAAGAAATATAAAACCTATTTAATAAATATAGAATTTAAAAGGTATATAGATTATTTAAATAATAAAAGTAGTTATAAGATCTTTATAATAAAAACTATAAATAAAGAAAATATTATATACTTTAAAGTATATCTTTTTATAAAAGAAAAAAGTAATTATAAACTAGTAGTTAAATTATATAAAGCTAGAATTATTATAATACCTAATATATTATTTAAATAGTTAAATAAGGTAGAAATTAAAAGCCTAATAATTATTAGTATATTTAAATTTATAGAATTTAACCTTAAGGTTTATAAAGGTATATAAATTTTTAATTTAAGGCTTATTAATAAAGTTAAAAGTAAAAGAATTAAGAAGAAGTATAAAAAGTCTAAAATAGTAATTTATAGCTTTAATAATTAAGATAAAGCCTTAATTTTAATAGTATTATTTATAATTTAATAATTAAACTAGAGAATTATTATTATTATTATTCTTTTAATTATTAAAAAAAGAAATAAAAAATATAATAAAATAAAGAATATTAGGAAATAAATCTAATTTAAAGATATTATCTAGGTATATACTTAATTAAAGATAATACTAAATAGAATAATTCTAATAAAACTACTAAAGTAACTATAGTATTAATACTTATAAGGTATAATTATAATAATTTTAAGGCTTCTTTATAGTATTCTAGAATTAAGTAATTATTAATATATAATATATTTAAAGTATCTTTTTAAATAGCTAAATATAACTACTTTAATATTTAACTTATACTTTTTTATTTTAAATAAAGAGGAATTTAAGATTATAAGCCTTTAAATAAATAATATACTTATTTTAAATAATAAAGGCTTTATTAAAAAAGAAAATAAAGATATATTAAAGATAGGTATTATTATAAAGCTAAGAAATAATCTAATAATAAAAAACTTATTATTTTTTAATAATTACTACCTAGACCTTAAGAAAGATAGTATAATTATTATAAGCTAATATAAATAAAGGAAGAAATTAAAAATACTCTTAACTAAAGAAGAGTATACCTAATAAAGAGCCTAAAGAGTATATATTATTAGTATTTATTAGCTAAAAGTAGTATTTAACCTTTTTATAGTTATATAATAATAATAACCTAAAAAGGAAGATTTTAAAAAGCTAGAAATAAGAATTTAATAGTAAATAAATAATTAAGAAAGAGGTATTTAATATATCTTAATAGACCTTAAAAAAGTAAAGATATTTATCTTTATTAATAGATTATTTACTAATAATAAAGATTTAAGCTTTTAAATAGATTATATTATTATAATTAATAATAAAGAATAAATTAATAATAATAAATTTATATTTAAAAGAAATATTATTACTTAAAGCTTAATAAAGTTAAAAAGAATAATAAAATTAACTTTAATATTAAAATTATATAGTATAGTTATAAAAATAAATATAAAATATATTATTAGTTTAATAATTAATATAATTATAAAAGAATTAAATATCTTAAAAATCCTAATAATTATTTATATTAACTCCTTATTACTATATAAATACCTTATTAAGCTTAAAATAATTAAAAAAAAATAGCTAATAATTAATATTATAGCTTTTTATTAATTATATAAAAAAAGAAAAGTTTATAAATTATAATAAATTAATAATAATAATATAAACTAATTAATATTATAATAAAAGTATTATTAAATTAAGTAATATAAAGTCTTATTAAATTAAATAAGTTAAATATATAAATAGAAGAATAGGTAGAATATAAAAATAAATTAAAAAAAGTAAATTATTAAGAGATTAAGGTATTAAGGAAATTATTAAAAGAAAAGTATATATATAAAGAGAAAAGAAGGCTTTAATTAGCTAAGAAAGGCTTAGAATAAAAAAATAAAGCTTTAATATTAATAATACTAAAAAGAATAGCTTTTTATTATATTTTTAAGTAAATTAGGCTTACTTATAAAGCTATAAAGAAAAAGAGTATAAGTATTAACCTTATATAAGTAAATAACTTAAAACTAGCCTTTTATTAGCTAATATATAGGTAGGAGACTTACTTTTAAGGGCTATAAACCTATTAATCTTAGCTATTAAGAAAGGTAGTATTTATATTAAAGTTATCTAGATTATATTAATTATTAAGAACTAAATTAATATTATTATTGCTTTTATTATTATTTAAATACACCTTGATTCTAATACCTTTAAAAACGACATGTTCGTAAAGAGCAGGCTAGAGCGGTGGTTGCGGTCCGGTCCACGACAAGCTAGTGACTAGGTAGGTAGTGACGCATCTCGGCAAGACATGGGACGAAAAAAAAAGAGCCAAAAGTCTCGGCTGATTATAGCCCCCAAAATCCAAAATACCAGCCAAACAGCCAAAGCACCCCCACTCCCCGAATTCCTGGCTTTGGATGTTGCTAGTTATGTGGTGTCCCAAAGTTACTGAGGTGCAAAATGTCGCCTGGTGAAGTCAATAGTGGTTTATAGCCGCGCGCCGGGCGGTTGGATTGCCTCTTGGCTGTTCTTCGAGCCCATTGTTAGTTAGTGTACGGACATTTAATATTTATTGAAATATGCAAAGTTCCCACAACCACAAGAACAAGTTCCCTCTGTTGCGCCTTGGCGGACCCTGCAAGGACAGGGGCCACTCGGCGACAGTGAAGAGTGGAACATTGTACATAATTTATTAGTTGGGTTGGCAGATAGCCGCGAACTAGCATACCTAGCCGTGTACGAACGTAGTATATCTCGTCATTGTTCTCGTCCCATCGGACCATTTTCTGGCTTCTTGTCTCAGTGATCCATACTCGCGTCTATCTCGTCAAGTTTATTCCATGAAGCGAGAACAAGCGTCCAAAACATCCCAACAGAGTAACTACATGATACAGAGCACGCACAGCGGTCCCCTCTTCAGCTACTACCACGAGCGCGCACCCAACGAAAACCCACTGACATGACCGACAACGCGCTAGCACGCCAAGCTTCTCGGCATCAGCAGCGACCGCCGACGACCGAAGAAAATACACGATAAATAGCGGCCCGAATGCAGCAAAATCACCGAAATGTGCCGTGGGTGTGTGGCTTGCCGTTTCCGCTAGTCCTGGTGGTCTCTGTCTCAGGTGGCTGGCCGTAGCCACGGCCTAGCCAGCCGAATCCTGCCCACGTTTGGCCGCAATGGCGACAAAAACCCAATGAAGGAAAATTATTGTCACTTGGTAGTGAGAGACTGGGAAACGTGCTGTGGCTTGAAAATCCACTCAACATGATTGTGGTGCTTATCGATGTTCTTGTCTGGGCCATCTCGCGATAACCAGACCTCCAAGACACAGGGTATGTTATCCCCTGGAAACCGCGTTGGCCACGTTGGTCCGTCGATTCGCTGTTCGTTGTTTTCAAAGGGGCACGACGGTGGCCACTTTCCGATCATGACAAAATCTGGAGTGGCAGTGACATTGTGTCAAGTCGTCCCTGTCTCTACTGTTGATACACGTGCGCCATCATACAATACAAACAACAGCCAACATCTATCCCATCAACGAGGCCGTACACACCTGTTACGCCTTTTGCTTCTTGCGTACCAGCCCGGCAGAGAGGACCTGGACAGGCGCCTCCTCAGGCGCCTCCGGCTTGTTCTTTTTCCTCACAAGTCCTGCGCTGAGCGTAGTAACACCAGCGTCCCCTGCTGGCTCCGTCGCGTCCGCCGCGGCCCTCTTTCTCTTCACAAAGCCCGACAAGTTATTCACCGCCCCATCTCCATTCTCCGTCACCGCCGCGGGAACCTCCATCGTGCCCGTCACGTCGTAGCCCCAGGCACTGCCCATGGCCACCTCGCTAACCCACCGCCGCGTGCTGCCCGCCGCCTTGTCCAGCGTCGCAAAGTCGAGGTGCAGCAGCAGTTCCACGATGCGCCTGTACGCGCCCTCGCTGACGACACGCTCGCCGCGGCCGCCCGTCGGCCAGACGTAGTGTGGCGTTGACACCGGACACCGCGCTAGCATGTAGTTTTTCTGCTCCGTCTTGATGCGCGGCGGCCGCGTGATGATGACGCCACGTAGCTTCTTGGCCTTCTTCTTCTTCGTCTTGACCTGCGTGCGCGTCGAGGCGGCCGCAGCCGACTGGGCAGGCGGGCCAGCGCGGCGCGGCGTGTCTGACCCGGTGCGAGGCCCGCCACTCTCGGCCGCGTCGTCATCAAACACAACCCAGATGAAGCCCGTCAGGCGGCCGCTGGAGCACTCTTGTCGAAAGGCCATCATTTCCCAGAACAAATCGAGCGTCTTGGCGCTCTTCCACGTGCCGGTCTTGCGCATACCGCCCGACTGCGCGGCCTCCTCGTCTAGCTCATCCCTGAACCGCGACTTTGGGTCGTCGGGGTAGCGGGGAATCAAGCAACGCGGTGGTACCGAGTCAAACTCCTTTGTATAGTGTGATATTCTCTCGAGAGGGTGTGTGAGTGACCACGAGGGCAGCTGTGCGCGAGGCAGAAACGCCCTCGTCTCGTATTCATCCAAGCCCGGCACGACAAGATAGCCCCTGACGCTGGCCCAAGGCGCCAAGTCTCCCTCGGGAGGTGTCTCTAGTAGCGGACTGAGGACGCGGCACCACCACTTAACCAAGCCGCGGTCGTCCAAAATGTGCTTTCCACTATTCTTGACACTTCCCGGGAAAAGGTACTGCGATTGCGCGCGGGCAAACAGGCTGACAATGAATTGTTTATCCTTGCGTCGTCGATTTTCCACCAGATGTGACAGAAATGCACCGCAAACCTCCCGAATGGGGCTTGGTGTGCCCTTGGGGAGCCTCAACAAGTTCAAGTATCCAGTCGAGTCGGCTTTGGAGACGAAGAGGGTCGTTGTATGCATGGTCGAGTAGAGGAGGACCTCGATGCCAAAAACGAGAACATCTTTTGGCTCCTCGTCCGCGGCAGCAGCACCGTGCTCGTCGGGCGTTTTGATGGACACGGCCAGAAAGTGGCTCTCGCAAAAAGTCCGGTCGGGTCGTTGGTTGGGCGGCGCAGAGTACAGGGCTGCGCTCTTGGTTGGTGGCGTGGAGAGATGAAAGATGGTGAATTGGCGAACTTTGGGCAGAATAGACCCTAATTTGGCTCGCAGGCCATTATCTGGATGCTCCTTGGTTGACATTTTCGTCTGACTCTAGAAAATGTGTAAATGGTTGAATACTGAAGTAGTTACTGTTGAACAAGGGCAGTGAATGAGCAGGGTGGGAAACGCGTTTCAATTAAGCTTGTACGCGACGTCAAACATACTGTGGCGCACCACTTGTAGACCGAACGATGTAGCACGCAGAGCGCTATTACGCAGAGAAACTAACTGAAAGTTTTTTGACACATGTTTAGATACATCACTGCTCAACTAGATAATAAGAGCTCTTGTTTATGACTTTTGAGCATCTGTTGATTGAATTGCGGGATGTACCCTGAGCCTGCGCCACATCAGCCACAGTCCCTGTTACTGAGTCACGTGCAGAAATTTATCCGCAGGAAAGTTGCGACTTTGGTGAAGGCCTCAATCCATCACGTAGGACGACCTTTGGACTTTAACAACTCCGCCACACAACCCACAATGGCACTACAGCCGTGTCGGACAGCTCTACTGCGCAGCCGGCAAGCAGCGCGCGCGCTTCTCCCCTGCGCGCGCTCGTATACCACGACGACAGCCACCGAGACCCCCGAATCGTTCAAGATTTCCCCGTCCAGGGAGCCGACAACCTCGGCGCCGCGATGGAGCCGCACGCCCGAAGGGATGAAGGCGGACCTGCAGATGGACTTTGCCAAGAACCCGCGGAACAAGGTGTGGGTGGTCAACAACGACCCGGCGCGGCTGGACCAAATGTACGAGCGGCTGCTCGGCCAGGGGGGCAGCAAGATGCTCCCCGAGGAGCTCAAGTGGCTGGCCGTCACGCACAAGAGCTTTGACCAGGGACGCAGAGGCTTCAACGATCGGTTGGCGCTGGTCGGTACGTGATGATCAAGTCTGGCGCGGACGACGGGGTTTTTCCGGGCTGTTGGAGAGGAAGCTAATGAGAGAGACAGGTCGCATGGCCCTCGACGTGGAGGCTGTCAAGGGAATCGTGAGCAAGCCTGCGGACCCCAAGGCGCAACAGACGGACGAGTTTAATAGGCAACCGTTTGAGCACCCCAAGCTCACGCCTGTGGACAACTTGAACCTCCATGACGCCCGCGAGTCTGTCGGCAAGGAGCGGCTGGCTGCGCTCGCCAGGTCCGTGGGCTTGGATAGCACTGTGCGGTGGAAGCCTCGTGTGGTATGTCTTTTACCGCAATTCGCCCACTATTGGTAGCGACTCGCTGACATTTTTTACAGGTCGACAACCTCGAATCGAGTGGTGTTGAGGTTGTGCTCACCGGCGCCATCATGGCCATTGTCGGCGCCGTGACGTTGCAACACGGCGGCGCTGTGGCGACGCAGATTATCCGCGAGCGCATCCTGGCCAGGATCCCCAAAAATTAATGGCATTTTTCTGAAGCATGCGGCATAAGAGCGCTGCCTGTACTCATACCCTCTTCGTATACCACATACACTGTACTATTTAGACGGCGGGCTTGTATAAAACTAACATTCATTATTCAAACTATTGCTCAAAGTGATTATTCCGATATGAGTTCTGCGCGCTGGGATATATGATACTCGAAACGATGGCAAACGCTATAACCATAAATGACTGCCAGATACAACCGGGTTCCGTAGCTGAATTAAGTGGTTGCGAGAATTTCCAACTCAAAGACATGTCCGTGTCCAGCCTAGAGCAGCGGCGTCTGCTCTGAGGGTTCGTCGGCCGCCTCCTCGCCGGCCACGAGGTCAATGACGGCGCCGAGCTCCTCCTGGATGACCTTTTCGCGGAGCAGCCAGCCGGCAAGCGTGCCGGCGCCGGGCCCTAGCAGGGCCGAGATGCCGACCATGTACGCGGGGACCTTCCAGTTGGTCTCAACGAGGACCCAGTAGAGCACGGTGGCGCCGATAAAGGCAAAGTCAATCTCGATGAACTTGACGCACGAGCGCGTCATCTCCCTGCGGTCGTCGGGGCGGGTCAGGCTCCAGAGGATGCCGGCGTGGGCGAGAACGGACGACAGGGCCGGCACGCCGTACACGGCGACGAGGCTGCGGCGGTGCGTCTCGAGATGCACATTGCGCTCGGCGGTGTGCGACCAGACGCGCTGCAGCGCCCAGCGCACGGCCTGGCGCGCGAGCGACACGTAGAGCGGGAAGAAGAGCCAGACGCCAATGGTGGCCGGGCTGTTGAAGACGAGCATGAGGACTGACGGCAGGTAGAAGCCGAGGACAATCGACACGGGAATGGCAACGACCTCGGACGCGGCAAGGTTGCGGTCCAGGTCGACGCCGAGGGCCTCGAGGCGCTGGCCGCCAATCTCGCCGCCCTCCTCCTCATCGCCGGCGGCGCCAATCTTTTGGGCGACAAAAATGTTGCGCAGGCGCTGGATCTGGGCGGGCACGATGAGCAGCTGCCAGACGAGGGCGCCGCCGAGCAGGTTGAAGAGCAGCCAGGCGGGGGTCGGGTTGGCGACGAGGCGGGCGGGCCGGTTGCAGCCGCGGGCCGACTCGGCGGTGCACACGGTGAGCAGGGCGCCGACAAAGGCGAGCACGACGGCGAGCACGGCCCGCGTGCGCGCCGAGTCGAGCGCCGCGTGGAAGAAGCTGACGACGTAGCAGAGCGGCGTGCCGAGCAGCGGCACGCGGCTCAGCCCGGGCAGCCGCGCGTGCGCGTGGCACTGCGACCACAGCATCGGCGTGTTGACGTCGGAGTGCACAAAGAGCGCGATGCCCGTGGCGATGGCGAGAAGGATCGGCACAATCATGAGCGTGCGCGTGCGCGCGGTGAGCACGAGGGGAGCCATGACGGAAAGGTCGGGGAGGGAGAGGGGGGGACGGAAGTAAATGGATATCGGCTCGGCGGAGACTTTGGGGTTGGTCGTCGCTGTAATAACCAAAGTGGTAGTTAGTCGTGGACAGCTAAGATGGAGGGTTGCCCGTTGCTGTTGATGTTGCAGAGGGAGAAGGAGGTGAAGATTTGGGGATGATCGGGGGAGGGTCAAAGTGGCTCCACGTTCGGAGCTGCGGAGTCCACGGCCAAGCGTCATGCGACACGAACTCGTGATCGAACCATGACGGTGTCACAAAAGATCTACAGGAAATAAATTAACGGAAGGATAGATGTTCTGGAAATATGAAGCTGGAGAAAATGAGAGAAACGAAAAGGACAAAGCAATAGACGAGAAAGCAGCTACTTACTCACAGAAAAGGTGAAGAGTTAAATTACTAAATTGCTGGCCAAGAAAAGCAACCACTAAAACAAACGGAATTATTTCCTGTTGTGCTACCAGCTACTTTCGCATTTACTCCGATGACGCTGGGTGAACTTGATGCAGCCCAGGTCCTGGTAGCATCATGTACCGCTGGTTGGCCAGCTTCAAGCTGCCACTTCCATAATGGACATTATAGCAAGGGGATCGCTAAATAATTTAAAATCATCTATGCCGTATAGAGGTAGAATATGCAAAATTTGTCCACTCCAATACTTGAGCTCAAGCGCACCCGCTAATCTCATATAACCCTAACCCTATGCAACATACTTGCTTTAATAAAGAATGCATCAACAAAAAAGGCCAAACACCACCACTGCCTCAACTCTACTTGCTCTTATTCTCCTTCTTCGTCCTCACCGACCAGCCTTTCCGCACACCCCTCTTATTCACCTCTGGGATCCTATACGCCCTATCGCGCTCCAGCCGATGCCTGTCCCAAAAGTCACTCGCTTCCTGGCGCAGCGCCGGCGCCGCCCCGGCCGCCGAACCACCGCCGGCCGCGTCGCCCTCACCAGCGGCATCTGAGCTGCTGCTGCCGGCCGCCACCCACGCCGACGCCCGCCCAGCCAGCTCGTGCAGCGCGCGCCGGCACGGCTCCCAGAGCAGCACGTACGCGTACTCCTGCAGGCGCCGGACGGCGCGCAAAACGCCGTCGGCCAGCCGGCGCGCCGTCGTGCTCCAGGCGGCGACGAGCGAGGCGACAATCAAGACGACGCTCGCGGGCAGGGCAATGGCGCCAATCGTGGCGAGGGACAGGTTGTCGCCGCCGCCCCATTCGCGCGTGTTCATGCCAAAGAGGCCCGTGAAGAAGGTCAGCGGCAGGAAGATGACGGTGAAGATGGTGAAGATCATGACGCTCCGGTTCTGCGCGCCCGCCACGTCGGCGTGCAGCCTGCTCAGCCGCACCTCGTCCACCTGCGCCTGGCGCTGCACCATCTGCAGCAGCTTGTCGTAGTCGTCGCGCGTGTCGCGCACCCGCCGCGTCATCTCCTCCGCCTGCTGCTGATAATCCGTCACCTTTTTGAGCGCCTCGTTGAGAAAGAGCCGCCCGCGGGTAGTGTGTTCGCGCAGCTCGGCGCGCGCGTAGATGGCGTGCATCGAGGCAAGCACCTTGCTCTGCAGCGCAAAGAGATGCAGCAGCGTCACGAGCTCGTCTTCAATGTCGCGCAGCTCGAGCAGCGCAGAGGTGTTGTCGCGGTTCTCGCGCTCGGCCCGGCGGCCCTCCTCCTTGTGGCGCGCGCGGATGAAGCGCAGCCGGTTGTCGACGGGTTCAAAGTCAAACGTCTTGTCGCGCACACCCTCTGTGCGGAACTCTTTGAGGGAGCTCGTGAGCTTCTCGGTCTAGGTGGCTGTTAGTACAACAGGTAGGCTTTCCGTCTGGACAGCAAATTCCTACCAAGACACTGATTGCCTCCTCAAAGATGCGGAATACTTCGAGGTCCGGATGCGACGACCGGTCCAGGAGAACGGTGACGGCATGCAGCACGGACAGGGCAGCTAGGTCAAGCGCATTCTCGCACTGGCGCGTAAAGTCAACATTGACCTCGTTGAAGATGCTGTCCCGTAGATCCGCTTGCTGAAACAGAGGCCCTTCAATGGGATCCCCCTCGCGCTTGGGGAAGAATGTAACCACAGTTTCTGCCACAAGTCAGAACCTCAAATCAACACCCCTCGATTGCAATCCACTTACGAGTATTCACCACCCACAGCCACAGCTGATCGACCATCAAGACGTTGCCATTCAAGACATCATCCTCGCCGCTCTGGTCCTCATTCAGCCCCCGAAACCTCGTCAGCCTCTCCTTCCAGCCCACGTTGCCGCCCTCATTCCCGCTGCGATGCGAGCCATCGCGCGTGCTGGACCCCTGCGCATGCAGCTGCTGCTGCTGCCCATGGTTCCCGAAGCGCTCCTTGGTCAGCTTGTACAGCATCTGGTCGTCGTCGCGCGAGCGGGTATCGCGCAGCGAGGGGTAGCCAAACTGGTCCAGGGTGCGGCGGCAGTTGACGGGCGGGTCGTGGCCGAGAAACTCCCAGATGACCTGCATCTCGGTCGAGTCTGTCTTGGCCACGTTGGCGGGCACGGGCCGCGACTGGCCCTGCGCCAGCCGCTGCAGGATGAGGTTGCGCCGGCGCAGCAGCCGCTTGTACGTGTCGAAGTGGAGGTAGGGGAAGAAGAGGCAGGTGTACATGCCTTGATCGCCGGCAAAGGGCGGCATCGTGGGACTAATTGCTGAGGTGCTCAATGGCGACACTGGAAAGAAGATGAGTATTTCCCCGGGACACGTAGCGAGGGCAACTCACAAGCTCTCGGTGCTGTGAAATAGCAGCCGGGTTTGGCAAAGTATGCGTAATGCTGCGAGTGTCGTCCTCTTGTATGCTTTGTCGCCCAAAAGTCTGGCCCGTACAAGTGCGAGAGGTTCTGTCCTGAGCACACTTGGAGCGCTTGCAAGATGCTCTACCGAACGTCAGTCATCTCCCAATCAACCGCCCCCAACCTTTGCTCCCATACCTTGACCCATGCTGGATTATTATACGGGAGATGGATCCATGTAAACTTTTTAGCTTGCGCCTCTGGCTTGAGCAAAACACCCGGCTCTGGGCCTCGATTGCTGGCCCCAGCAGCGGCAAACCCCGACCGCACGCCGAAGACATTCTCCAGCAGCGGCGGCGACGCCTCGAGCTCGTCCTCGTCCTCCCCCTCAGCGCCCAGCAACAGCTCGTCCCCGCCCGCGCTCCGACTGCGGACCGAAAACGGCGGAAAGTCGCGATACTTGAACCGCGACGACGCGCCGCCGTCGCTGCCCAGGCTCGCCGACCGGCTCAGGGACACGAGACCCGGCGTGGTGGCCGCCCGCCGACCGCGCAGCGGCGGCGAGAGCCGGTCGATGACGAGGTCCTGCTCGACCTGCGCGCGCAAAAAGGGGGACGCGTGCGGCACGGCAGAGGCTGAGGAGCGGTTCGGCGGCGAGGGGGCGCAGAACGGCGGCGAGGCAATGGGCCCGATGGGCGCGGATTTTGGCGAGGATGCGGGCGGCGCGGCGGGAAGACGGTGCAGTGCCTGGATGATGGGCGACATGGGCACCACGGTCCCTGTCGGCTCGCTGATTTGACTGTCGATGCCCAGAGCGTCCCTGACGGTCATGGCAGGCGGCACTGATATGACATCCCTCGTCGGCGAAGGCGAGTGCTCCACGCTGTATTCACCCTGCGCACGCGACGTCCTGCCTCTTGTCTGCAGAAACTGTCCCGGCCCCGGCGACCCGTCGACCTCACTCAGTCTCTCACTCAAGCACTCTTCCGGGCCCTTTGTGATGAACTCGCGGAGCGGCAGTCTGGTGGACCAGGCGCGCACCGCCGTGATGCCGGTGCCGCCGACGAAATCATCAAAGAAGCCGTGGACTTCCACATTGACCTTTTGCTCCAAGTCCGGCATGGACCAGCGCGCGGTGCCCTCGCCGTCGCTCCCACTCGCAATGTGCGCATCGGCATGCTCGACCTGCTCTGCGATTTGGCACAGAAAGAGCCGCATCGTCGACACGTTGTGGCGCCCAAACGAGGCCACGTTGGCATGGTCGCTCTGCAGCGGGAATATACGCTCCTGCCGCATGCCGAGAATGGCCGACTTGATGGACGTCAGCGGCGCCGTGAAGTAGACGCTCTCTGGTGCATCCGCGCTGCCGCCATTCGTGCCCGCTGCGGTCGCTGTGCCGGCCACGGCCGCACCCGCACCGCGGCCCGACAGCCGCGAATCGATTGTCTCGTAAAAGGTCCATATGCGCATATCATTCGCAATCTCTTTAAAGTCATCGTCGATGTGCGCCAGCAGGCTGCTCCCCACGCGCAGATCCGCCGTGAGCGTCTCCGGCAGCGGCACGTCGAGCTGCAGCAGGCGCTGCACGCTGGCCGCCAGCGAGCGCATGGCAAAGTAGCTCGAGCCCTGGTGCGGCGTGCCAAAGAACGCGACCCCGTAGCAGTCGTCCAGGATGTCCCGGTACCGGGGCTCGCGGCCAGCGCGCACCAGCGCCATCTTGGCCACGAGGCCGCCGATGCCGTGGCCGAGGACGAGCAGCGGCCGTCCGGGCTGCTGCTGCTGGTTCTCTCGCAGCGTGTGCAGGGCGCGAAGAAGCTCCTCCGCGAGGAGATGCAGTGTCGTGCCCTCGACGGGGCGCGGGTGCGCGTAGAGCAGGATGCGCGCCTTGCTGGCCACGCGGCGGATGCCCTGGCGCACCCAGGATGTGGACGACGGGCGCGGATCGCCGCCGGTGCTGCTGTGGACGTGTTGGGCATCGCGCATGGACGGCGCGCCAAAGTAGCGGCCAAGCAGGCCTTCGCGGTTCCATGTGCGCAGTCGGTCGCCGCCGGGGCACGGGACGGTGATGATGTCGACGGTGGTGATGTCGTAGGTGAGGTCGCCGGCCGGGTCGAGGAGGAATCGCTCGCCGTCTCCTGCGGGCTCTGATGGAGCTTCGACGTCCTCCGGGTTCTCGATTTCAATAGCTTCTGGCTTGTCGCAGCTGTTCTTGCTGGAATCCGTCTCTTGAGCCGGCAATTGCTGCTCTGGCAGGCCACTGGGCTCCCGGGCTAGCCGCTGCGGCGCCAGGACATTGGCCGGACGGGCATTCCCAGGGATACTCCTGGGGTTTTCGTAGTCTTGTGGCATTGTAGACTTCCCTGGTGGCCTATTGGAAGCCATCTAGGCTCTGTGGGTTGGTGTACTTGTCGTGTAAGTGGTAAGAGTGATGATGTTGGGTGAGAAGGAGATTGGGCATCCTCTCGAAGAACCAGCATCTGCGAAAAATAAAATACCCCGTCCTCGGGCGTTTTATTAACCCCTGACGCCTTTCGGGGCTTATCCTCGCCTCTTCACCAAGAGTCAGCTGGTTGCCGTGTCTCATGGTCTTAGCCGCCCTGGACAAAGCTGGTCACGGTCGCAGTCTGGCTGGTAGAAAAGGTACCCTGCAGGGCGACATCCGAGAGCCGCAGCAAACAATATGACGCTCTGCGACGACATTAAATAAGAAAATGTCCGCTTGCTTCATTTCTTGGCCACCCGTGACAAGTTTCTCCAGCGCCATCTATACGAAGACATGATGCGGTGCTTTGATGGGTTGCATTGTATGTTGTGTCAACACGTTGTGGTGATGTGACTAGGCTGTACGTGACTTGTCCACATGGTTGACTCGCTCAACGCGATGGTGCTAACGTTAGCGGCGACAAACTAGAGAATCAAAAAGGTGGCGTTTCTCATTCGCCAAGTAAAGTATCCTATGGTAACTGCTAATTCCTGCCAATACGGCACCCTAATAGCATGCGTTTTGTTGCTTCAATTACTCCAGCATGTTGCTTCAAAGCAGCCCAAGATGACACCAACAAAGAAACGAAAGAAAACATAGGATGATGATACATAATTTCGAGGCTTTACGAGGTCCTCAAGACAGGAGCGAGTAGTTTTTCACCGTCGTGCAGTGAACCGTAGCGTCAGTGTACAGCTTATTCGTTATCACGCACATGTCGCCAGGCCGGATGATGAAAGCGCTGTTCGGTCCTGCATCAAACTTATTAGTTCCGACCTTGATCTCGATCTTGCCCGATGCCACAGAGCATGTCCGTAGCTGCGACTCATGCGCTTCCCATCGTGCCTTGTCCCCTGGCTTAATCGTCAGGACATTAAAGGCCACGTCTTCCGAGACCTCAATCGGCTCTCGCCCATTCAGATAGGCATTCGAATACGCAATATCTAGCAACAATTAATAGAGCTTCCAGCGAGGTCATCAGCCGTGTACATACTCTCTCCATAGGTCGAGTCGACCACTCGGCCAGGTGCCACTTCCCAGCTCTCCATCTCAAGTTGGGCCGGAGGGGCTTGGACTGGGCTACGCTTGGTCGCCGGCTCGGGGGAACTGGAATCCACTATCCTCCTTGCTCTTACAGATCGAGACACAATGCCAGAAGAGGTGGGCCGATTTTCCCCCGTCTTCCGCGCCGCCGAGGGCCTGCTATTCGTTGCTGGGTTGGCATATGCGGCTTGAGTCTGTCCATAGATGAACGTGGTCGATGGAGATGGCGGCTTCGAAATGCGCGAATCTCCGTTGTAGTCAGCACTCGAGGTTTCAACCGACTCCTGGAGGGACGGAGAGTCCGACCGAGGCATGTGAAAACGGGCTGCTTTTCCTGCCTTGATGGCGGAATCCACATTTCGAGCGTCCCTCCGCTGATGAGCGACCCGGTCTTGGGTTCCCGAGTATGCATGGGAGTCATCCTCGTCGTCCGAGTCGTGCAATCCATCAACGCGCTTCTCATAGCGGTGCAGAAAAGGCTCCGTCCGAGTCAACCAAGAGCAGCGGTTGGGTAAGTTCCGAGTCTGTGCAAAGTAATGGCAGCCCACGCAGCTGTCTTCAGAAAAGTACACATCCTTGTGCGCGGCGGAAATCCCCAAAGGCATGGCAACCGACCGTAGCGAAAGTCGACTGCCAGGCTCCTGCAGCGCACCGCCGCAGGCATCCATACCGAATACTTCGGGCCCAGTAACGTATGCCACTGCGAGGGCGAACATGTGCACGCTTAAGTCCTTGCCCGTGTGGTGGTTGATCCAGGACGTTGGTAAGTCGCGACGCCGTGGCAGCCGGCAGATCTCGCGAATGTACGCCGTGGCAAGGAATCTGGTGCTCTTAACACAACCGCCGGGAAGAAACCTGCTGACGTAGGTGAATGGGTCGGGATTTATCATGGACAGATACTCCTTTGCAAACGGCACTGTGTCGCTTTCCTCGTCGTCGCTTCCCGTCACGCTGACTCGCGACACTACAATGGCCCGCCACTTTTCTCTCGGGATTTTCGAATAGAAGCCGACCTTTGTAAATGTGCCGTCGCAATTGTCATTGTATGCGACGCCCTTGTGTCCCGATGAGAAATGTCCTCCCAGTGCTCTGGCACTGTCAAAAGCCCTGGGGCACGCCCTGTCTGGACAGACAAAAGGAGTAGGGGAGGACATATCCAACCGATAGTTGGTTGGAATGAGCGCGCCGCTCATACTGGCGATGTCATCCTTGGATGCTGTGGAATCTCCGTTAGCTACACATTTGCACAGTCGGAGCCAACAGGTCCGCTTGACGTACGGTAGTAATACTCATACGACATTCCATCAGCACGAGTGAAAATGGAATCGGTCGAGTTATACTGGAGCCAGTCGCCCCCAGCGATTGTCTGGTTCATCAAGCCATCTTGGCCACGCTGTTGCGCGTGACTTGGAGCTATGGGTTGCTTGGCTGCTAGAGGGGAATGCGACGCTGACGATGCCTGTATCGACGGAGGGACAGCTCGCTTTAGAGGCCGGGAGGAAGTCTCGAGCGCGGAGCTGCTAGTACGACGCTTCTCGCCCAGCACAGGTCGCGGTAATGAGCCTGTCAAAGCTGCTCCTAGATTTTGGTCAGAATATATCGGGAAACGGAGAGTTGACCGTTGTCGCAAAATAATATTTTGCATTCCGTATTCAGTCGTCATGGATGATACTCACCTTCAACGTCGTCGTCGTCGTCGTCGTCGTCGTCGTCGTCGTCGTCCGATGTTGACGAATCACCAGGCTCGGAGTGAGAGCTGCTGCTACTCAACCCCCCCTTAGGCCCATTCTTCTGCTCCCATTCCCGCTGCACCGCCATGATGGTCGAGTTGAGCGACGCCGCCTTGGTACTCGCACGGCGCGGCGGCGGCGCCTGCGCACGCGCCTGCAGCTGCGGCTGGCTGGCGGCGGGGGGCCGCTGATTGTTCTGCTCCCAGGCGCGCTGGGCGTCCATGATGGACGAGTTGTGCGCCATCAACTTGCCGCCGCCGGCCTGCGACTGTGCCTGTGCCTGCACGGGCTGCGCGTACGGGGGCAGCGGTACCTGGCTGACCATGCGAGGCGCTGGCGGCGTGTTGCTGGGCGTAGGGACGTGGCCGCGCGCCCGCGTGATGCCATCCGGCAGTGGGGAGGGCATGATGTACTGGTAGCGATCAAATTGCTGTGCAAAGTATTGGGCCGCCCCGGTGTCGTTGCCTTTCTGGCATAACGATGCCGAGGACGGCTGGGTGCTGGCTGGACGTTGAGGGGTCTCAAGCCGCCAAGAGAGCATACCTGGCCTGTGAATGGACGGCAGCAGCGCGTTGGTCGCGTCGGTGTTGAAAATAGGAGTTGGATGGGACAGAACCATGGATATGTGTATTTCGAAGAGTCAAGAGGCCGGGGATGGCATTTGGGTTACTGGTGAATACTGGTAGATTAGAGTTGGAGTAGGCGCGTCGCGTGCGTGCACTACCAAAACCCAGTACGGAGTACACTTAACTGATAAATTACTTCAGGAGCAAACAGCTCGCTCCACATCAAAGACTCAACCGACATGCCGCAACTAACCAGACAAAAGGAAATTGACTCGGAAACAATTTGTCATGGTCCAATTATATAATAATTATTCATGCATCAGCTTGGCTACAACACGAGTGGTATTTTCACAAGCCAAGGTCCGCAATTTCGGCTGATGTTGTACATGTTCTAACAGAAAATAACGTCATGTGGTAATATACAATGCAAATCACCCACGCTCCCCTCACGGCTATGCCATCTCTACACGTACTCGTCATTTCTTCGCCTTTGTCTTTTTCGACGCCTTCTTGCCCGCCATCTTCTTGCCCGCCTTGAACCCGTCCTCGCCCAGCTGCGCCCTCTTGGCCTCTGCCGCGCGCTGGCCCTCAATCTCCCGCTCGCGCCGCCAGCGCCTGTTACGGAGCCACTGCTTGCGGGTGCGGAACTTCTTGAGCTTGAGGCCCGTCGTCTGCACAAGCCGACCGATGCGCCAGTTGTCCTCGCGGTAGCTGTAGTCGTCGCGGAGCTTGAGCAGGCGGTCCGGCTCGCCGGCCTGCACGCGCGTCACCTCGAACGGGATGCCCGACGGGGACAGCGCCGGCACCGCGGCCGCGGCGCGGATTGGATGTGCCGTCATGTTGAGTCGCCGCTTGCGCTCGGCGTGCGCGGGATACGGCAGCGTGTCCGCCTTGTCGAAGACGACGCCAATGTATTTGCGGTCGGGGTGCCGCGCCGGGTCGCGGTAGTACTTGACATAGCCCGTCGCCGTCGCGTGGATCGTGTGGTCCCGCCCCATGTTGCAGTTCTCGCCCGGCCACCAGTGTGTGCCGCGTTGCTTGTAGAGGATGTTGCCGGGGATGACGAATTGGTCTGCCGAGGAGAGTCAGTTTCCGCGTCTGCATTGCAAACTTCAAAGGCCTCAATGGCATCAAAGTAGAACTCCCGTAGACGTACCGCCGGTTCGCTTGGCTCCTAGCTTCTTGGGGATGCCTCGCTTGCACTTTTTCTTGTACGCTCCCTGCGCCTTGACCGAGGCGTATCGTTGGCCTTGGACAATGGCACTGTTGAATTGCGGCTGTATGGTCAGACCGGCCAGCCTTGACAGGGTGGACGCCGCTATCAGCGACGGCCTTTGGACCGAGAGGAACCGCAACGCCATTGTGCTGCGGATGGATGCTGTCGAGGAGACTATTATGGGGGCTTCTGCGGATTGAAGCTCATCTCCAACGGGTGATGCTCAAATTTGGTCTTGACTGCGCTTAGTCAGGCCATGGGGACTTTATCGATAAGCTGCTCACGAAAGTGGCCAGCTAGCAGTGACGCCATGTTCATTTCTACATGGAAGCCGTTGCACAGCATATTTCTTCCTGACAAACGTAAAAACAAACAGGCGGTGCATAATCTGTCGCAATGCGCTTGTTAATAGCATTCTTTTCGCTCTTCTCGCTGGCGTACGCCCAGTTTGGCTTCTTTGACCAAATGTTTGGCCAACAGGAGCAGCATCACGGCGGGCATCACCACCACCAGCAACAAAACAATCCGAGCGACGCTTCACAGTACCACGCACGCTACGAGGCTTGTGCGTCATCATGACCCTACTCTGACACTTTTGGAATCACTGGCTAATACGTTGCTTACTTGCTCATAGCCGTCTGCGACAACTATCTGTGCCCCGATTCGCTCGCGTGCGTACATTTTCCACACCACTGCCCTTGCATCTGGGATCAGAACGAGGAAAAATTCGAACTCGGCGATGGAAGTCGTCTCTGCGTCTCCAAAGGCGGCTTCAAGGACGGCGAGGCGGCGCGCAAGGTCGAGCTGGCGCGCAAAGGTCTCCTGTAGAGACATCTAAGGGATCAATATCATGTACATCTTATTGGGGGCGCAGGCATGATGGACGGTTTTTGTAAACTTGAATTGTTTGCTCTTCAACGCACACAGAGAGCATGGGTAACGAGTCACGGAAAGAAAGGTACCAAATTGACTGTCTGTCATATCAATAACACAGCGGGAAGAAGACAAGCCCCGAAACAAAATTCAACGCCGAAATGGATATCGCAATTTAAGTGAAAAACAAACAGCACCTCAGCGACTACGCAAAGCCATTGGGAATCGACGGGACTGGAGGAGGAACTGCGTCGTCTTCTTCGTCTTCGTCGTCTTCGTCGTCGTCGTCGTCGGGGAGGCTCTCCGGGTTGCCCAGCAGTGACGCCACGTCGCGCATCTCGTAGTGTCTTTTGCGGAGTTCTTCAAATTTGTGGTGTTTTTCGACTTCTTCCGGGGAAGCGTCCACCAAGGCGTCTTCGGCGGAGGCGACGGTGTCCTCGTCCAGATGCACGCTCTTCTCCGAGGGGGCGCGGGGGGAGGCCGTGTTGGCCGCAGCGACGTCGTCAGCATCGTAGTAATCACCTCCCGCCGCCCCCTGCGCCGCGAGGCCGTGCGCCTCCGGCATCTCCTCTTCCGGCTCGCCCAGCGAAAGGCCCGGAATGTCGTCCTCAGGACGTGCACGTGGAGCTTTAGGGACACGATGAGCACCCTCCACAGAAGCCTCGGCGTGCTGGTCGCCTTCGGCTTGGTACTCGTCGTCGGACGGGTCTTCCATGGGATCATACTGCTTGACGTAGGGCGTCTTGGGCTCGTCAATCTTCATCGTCGAGGTGCGCTCCTGCTCGGTGAGGTACAGGTTGACCTCGTCCCACTTGAGGCGCTGCGAGGGCTCGGCCGATTCGACGTTGGTGGCCGACTGGCGTCGGGAGGCGCCGAGGCGGGCGGTGGAGGACGAGCGACGGTGGCCGGCGTTGAAGTGTGTGTTCTCGAGGGTGATTTCTTTGCTCATGGACCGCTGGCGGAGAGGTGGAGCGACAGTTGATGGATCAACCGAGGAGCGATCGTGGGAGACTGAGTGCTTGAGAATGCCTAGAGATGGGTCCGGGTTAGTATCAGATTCACGGTTTGACAATGATTGCAGTTGAGCAAAGCTGATTTGCTGCCTCACCTTTGGGTCGGGCGACATCAGGGCCGGGCGGCGAGTGCATCGGGGAGTCGTCAACGGCGGAGGCCATGATTTATACAAGTCTGCGGCGGCGCAAAAGGGACCAGATGCGGATATAGAGGTATGCGTCTAGGTGCTCACGAGGCGAGTTTTCAAGGAAAGCAGGCAGCGTGAGGTGCAAAAGGGCAGTAGGTAGGCAGGCGGCCTTTTGTTGTTAGGCCGTTTGAGCGGGGTTTTGGGCGTCTTTTGGAATGGCGGGGTGACGAAGAGCAGCGACACCAGGCGCAAAGCAATACTGGAGAGTTGAGGTTGCAGGAGCTGATGGGCACTGGGGCGAATCGGGTGATGAAAGTTTATGAGTGTGCACGGCGCATGATGGAGGGTGTCTGTTGTACGGCTTCGCACCACCAAAGTTGCACCCAGCCCTTCCCAGCAAGCTCTTTGCTCTTTGCAGCGAGGTGATGACGCACAAGGCACGCGGGCGCCGGAACGGTGGAGCGATGTACTTGGTTTTGCTAGTCTCCTTCGGCGAAAAGGCAGGTACCTTGAGGCTGACGCCACGAACGACTGGCAACCTCGTGGAACCTCTCCGTAGTCACACCACCAGTGAGACCAGTGAGTGCCCACGTCCTCCCGCATGCCTATCAGCTGCCAAGGAACGCGGGAAAATATTTGATAATAACAGGAGATGCGGTATATTTCCCTCAATTATACTTGCTACTCAGATGACTTGGGGGCGATGACTTTGGGACGGTGCAAAACTTGGTCGGTATGTAGTACTTGACTCAAATGGGACTTATTAGGTACCTTCAGAGGTAGTTACTTGTCACTGGTTGGCCCACCAAGATGGTTCGGCTCGTTTTGGCTTCTACATTTACAGAGGAACCGATACGCTTGCCTACAACCTTCAAATAAAACTATAATTCGAGGCCTCGAGCTAAGAAACGCATCAGGCCAATCGGAAACGCCTACGAGTCCATTGACGTTGGCAACCGGCCAACCCTACCCTGCAGCAAGGCGTACCTCGTCTTGTCCCAATTGACAAACAGCCCGCAGATCAGACTTCAACTTTGCTCTTCTTCACTAGAACCCGCTCCATGAATTCAAGTTATTTAGCATATTTTTAACAAAGCGTCATGGTTGAAACCGTCTCCGGTCCAAAAACACTGTTCAATCCTCGCACGATATCTGACACCATGCCCAAGCGCTGGTACCATCCCGGCTGTGCAGCAGACTTGCCCAACACCATCAGCTCCGCACCCAGCTCCGCGCTTCTATCATGCTCCGATTCAAACTCGCCGAGCACGAGGACCCAGCATCGGATACCTGGCGACAGCAAGCGGACAGTCCTGACATCTTGACCTGGCAGGGCAAGCGGCTCGACCCCCGCCTGGCCCTCCCTCCGGCGTCGACACGCAACGCGCTCGGCATCGTCGTCACTCTTCTCCGTCATGATGTATTCGAGATGCGAGTCAAGAATCAGTTCTAGCGTACGACCCCCGACGTCAATGGCCGCCCACCCGACCTCGGAGTAGCGCGTGATGCGGCTTGCAATCACCGGTCCGCGCAACGTCAGTCTGCCACCCGCGACCCTGCCCAGCGGCGCGTGCGGACTCGGCTGGCTCTCGACTGACAGCACATCCGTCAACTTGCGGTACGGCAGCTGGCCGTTGCGGAAGCAGTAGTAGTCGACCTCGCCGTCGACCGACGCCCACGAAAAGGACGGCGCGCGCGGGTCGTGGCGGTCCCCCGCCGTCTCCAAGTCGCCCGTCTTGTGCCACAGCAGGTCCAGGTCGATGTTGTCCTCCCACAGGCCGGCCACGTAGCGGGACCGCGTCTTTTGCTGCACGACCTCGGCGATGCCCGAAATGGCCGGCAGCCTGTCGCCGCTCCGCGACAGGGCCCTGTTGCTGTAGTTTTCGACGAGCTTGTGCCAAAAGGAAAACGTCTCGGCGGCGGCGTCGAGCTGCGCCAGCGGGGTGCGGCCAAACTGCCGGCGGCGGTTCAGCGTCGACAAGCACTCGCACGTCTCGGCTTGCTTGCAGACCCATTGCATCTCGGTCGCCGAGAGCATCAGCAGCCGCGAGGACAGTACCTGCTCCTGTAGCGTCCACCCGCGCTGCGCCCACGGCTCCTTCGGAGCGCGCTCGTCGGGGTTGGTTTGCCAGCGCCAGTGGATACCGGATTGCCCAATGAGCCGAGCCTTGATGAGGGCGGGCTCCGGCTCCGTCTGCACCGTGCGGGCGAATACCTTGGTGTTTGGTCGCCTCGACGCTATTTTCTTGCCGCAGGAATGGCACAGCCGCCGACGTTGAGGAGACGGACGCAATGGTAATCAGAGCGTTGGCGTATACAGACGCCATCTTGGCTGACTCACGCTCCCAATCCTCAATGGAGTCCTGCACGATGCAAAGCGAGTCCACCCAGAGATAGTCCACGCCGAGTGCTCGGGTGAGCACCACTGCATCGACAAGCGTGTCTTGCAAGTCCGCCAGCCTGATGTGCTGCTTCATCTCGGCCATGTTTGCACGCGTCGTCTTTGTCGTGACGGCCCCTCCCCAACTGTAGCTCAGCGCGGTGTACGCACCTGGGCTTGTGCCCGCCGTGTCCACCAGGCGCAGGACGTCTTCGTCGCCGCTGCGTCCGACGTAGAGGAGCCTCTGCGGAACTTTGTGGTTCCACGTCGTCACTGCCCTGCATACAGGGTGACTTTGCAGGCAGGTCTGCAAGCACGTAGTGATAAAGCCTCTGCCTTGCGGCGACAGCTGATGTGTGCAGACATCGGGGAGCGGAAGCACGCGCTGCCAAGGGCTGCGTAGTTCTGGCGAAACCGGTGATTAGCACTTTCTTTTTGCGCGCCGTGCCTGCTTTCACGCCCATTTACTTTATCGACGTACTCGCTGAGGAATACAGCTGCGCAACCGAGCGTGCGCCGCGAGCGCGAAAGGCGATTTGAATGTTGCCGGGGCCGATGGGCAATAGCAGGGTGACCTCGGTGCGGTCGTAGGCATCGCAAGGCACGCCGAAAAATGACAGGACCTCCAAGAAGACAGCGCAGATGACGCACGAGCGCGAGGCGATGCGAATATCCCGTAGCCTGCGTGGCAGACTCAACGTCATTTCAGTCTGGTCCAGGCGGGCATGCTCCTCCGCCTCCTCCGCTGCGAGGCTGCAGCAGCAGGCGCACACCTTGGGATCCAACGAGTCCCTGTCCATCGGATGGAATGTGATGAAGAGTCTTGAGGGCTACACAGACGATGGCTCAACTCTCTCCTTTAATAAATTCCATATTAGTAGGGCTATCAGTACCCCACGTAAGACACCACCTTACGCTTAATAAGCGTTTAAAACCCCCCCTTTCTCTACCTCTTAGCTATATAGGCTAACACTATAGGTATACTACTAGTCCTATAACTAATAAAGCCTATCCCCTTATAAATAATAGAATATTTAACTCTTTAACTAAGCTAAATAGACCTTAACTTTTTTTAAAAAGAATATAGTTTAGCCTTTAATAAAAAGTCTATTTTAAAGATAATCTTTAAAAATAAAAAGCTTAAGATAATAATAATAATAATAAATCTATATTTAACCTTATCTTTATTAGCCTTATAGTCTACTTTTTAATATTAAATATAATAATATTTTTTAAAATAAGTAAAATTCTTACTATTACTCTAAATATTACTTTAGGCTAGTTTAATAAACTAGAAGATATTAATATAGTTTAAAGATATTAAAATATTATAAAAGTTGTTATTAAAAAAGCTATTAGTTTTATAAAAAATAATAAACCTATATTTTTTATAAGTCTAGTCTAAACCTAGAATTCTATAGTATCTTATAAAGATATTATAGCTAAAAAAACCTTAGAATTACTTAAAGCTAGCTAAGGCTATAGCTATAAATAATAATAGTAATAATAATAATAACTTAAAGGCTTATTAAATAATATTCTAAGAATTAAAAAGAAATAAATTAAAATATAAAGTAGATTTTAAGTATTATAGGCTAGGCTCTAGCCCAGCGCCTTCCAAGAGTGGCCAGCGCAGAGCCCCTAAAGGGGGCCCTTATAGGTGCAACTAGATAATAATCGTGCTAGTATTGTTATTATAAATCCTTTTGGCCTCGTGGTTAAGAGGGTTGTGCGCCGTAAGGCTACTAACGGCTACGGGGCTGGTTACCCCCGAAGCCCCTCTGGGGCTAGTCTGTCATATACAACAATACTACCCTAAGGTTATAGGTTTAAACCGTACAGCAGGTAGCCACCGTAATAGAAGGTGGATTAGCGCTGTGTATAGACCTTGGCCTAGGCTTATAGGTAGCGGCTCGTCTGGGGGGTTT